ATAAAACTACCTGTCATTAAGACACCTTTTTAAAAATGCTGATAAGGTATATATAACATAAAATGTACCAGCTTAACCATCTTTAAGTATACAGTTCAGTGGCATTAGTACATTTTCATTACTATACAGTTAATCTCCATATCTCTTTTCCTCTTGGAAAACTAAAACTCTGTACTCACTAGTAACAACTCTGCATCTTCCCCTCCCCCAGCCCTTGGCAGCCACCATTTACTTTCTATCTCTGTGAATTTACTGTAGATACCTCACATAAATGTAGAATAATTGCATAGTATTTGACTTTCTGTGATTGGCTAGGACACTTTTTAAATTATACATACACGTTATTCATTTAAAGGGTTTAGAATGACCATGTACCTACATTTAGAGGGCAGTAATATGAAATTCTTGGTGCCAGGAGCATATGTGAGTTCAGCAATAGACATCCATGTTTGCCCTTTTTGTTCAAGTACCCAAACAGCTGACATATTTTCCAGTCTGACATAAGAATAATATGAACAAAGATTTTAGCACATTATATATAAAGAAAAATCAGCAAGTCTGTTGTTGCTTGTTGTAGTTTATATTTGATAAGAATCACAGAATACTGAAACTAGAAAGAGGTATTAAGAGTCTTCCAGTCCCACCCGTACTTGTTGTACAAATGAGAAAAACAGAGAGGCAAAGTGACTTACCCAGGGTCAACAACAAAGAAAACAAGTTTCCTTAATTCTGTGTAGTTTCCCTTGTAGCTAATTAATGTCCTTGAGTTTCAGAGACCAACATTTACAGAAAAAAATAAAAAGTTAATGTTTGCTTAGAACAACAAATAAGTAATGAATAGAAGAAAAAGCTATGCCTGTGCTTCATTTTTTACATTAAGGACTGGTTTCTTTGGGATATATACACCATTGTTTCTTTTAAAGTAAGTCTGTTTAATGGGACCTTTGATATGCTAAATCCTTAGCATGAGATTTAACTCTGTGATACTGGAATTTCTGGGCACTGCAGCTCAGTGTCTGGTAAAACCTAGAACTGATATGTCTCATTTTCCATAGGCATGCTTCGTGTGTTGTTGTATGAATATGTGAATAATCGTTTCTTCTAGAACCAGTAATAACCATCAAATTAAGATACTCCATGGCAGTCATCCCCATACTTATGTGACTATACATCCCATCAGTTAAAAAAAATTTTTTTCACACACTTCAGTTACGTTTACTTATAAATTATATGTAAAAACCACTGGTAAATTGTATACATTAAAGGCTTAGACAAGACATCCATTTTTTAAAGAGAATATAAAAAAGTTTTTTCTTTCTTTATATATCCAGGTGATCATTCCAAATACACATCATTCCCTGGGAAATCAGAGGGCATGAAGATCTTAATAATGATCATCATTTGCCCAGTTTACTGGTTCACTAGCCTGTTGTTTCTGACAGTTACAACAACATAAAACGAATGACTGCAGTAGAATAGAATGTGTTAAAGTACTTTCAGGAAGGTCTTTGGAATGACAGCTTTAAGAATAATATCAAGTTAATCAGCATTTATTTAGCATCTGCAAAGGACACAATATCCACCTACCAGGAAACAGCTTGTACGATAGACTGAAGGCATTTTATTTAGGTGTGCATACATAAGTACTGTGTATACGTGTGAAGATACCTAATAATTCAGCAGTGAATATAAGAAATATTGTGTCTTTGTTACAGTGTAGAGACATTCGTGTAGGAACAATCACTTCAAGCCTGGGGAAGTCAGAGGCTTCAAGGAGGACTCGCTATTGCATTGTATGGTATTGTAGTCTGAGCCTTACAATTTGAATAGGGAAAATGCATGGAAAATATTTAGAAGACAATGAGTTGATTTATGTTATTGAAGCAGATGGTTTTTGTGAAAGAAATCAATAGAAGGAAAGCTAAAGAAGTGGGTTGATTCTTTTGAGGAGGATATTAATCTTCCCCAGGCTAAGCAAACTGGATGTTTTCTGTTTGTAGTAAGGACCTGCTGGGCAGGCATGTGATGTGATCAGGATGGAAATTTGAGGCAGATCTGTTGGCAGTGTAGAATATATTTTGATGGAAAGAGAAAATGGAGTTAAATAGATCAGTTGGCAAGCTGTTATATAATTCTTAGTAAGAATAATGTTCGAGTGCCAGATGCACTGTTCTAATGACTCAAGTGTGGTAAATACTGTTAATATCCCCCACTTTACAGATGAGGAAACTGAGGCACAGAGCAACCCCTTCCACCCCGCTAAGGTCACCCAGCTAGTAATCCAGGACGTTTCTGTCCACTCTCTGCTTTCACAGATATTGTGGATCTGAGTTAGAATTCTGGCTCTGAATAGAAATGAGGGACACATCCATGAAAGACTGAAAAGCAGCGCAGATAGAACTCAGCTGACTCCATGCATGGGACAGGAGGGAAGAGTCAAAGATGAGCCAAAGATATTCTGAAATGGGTGGTAAAATACACCAAAATAGAGAAGTCAGAATCCTTTACTTATCAGTTTCATTTACAGAAATTTATGTCCTAAGAGTATAATTATAGAGGGGAAAAAAGAATAAAGTTAATTCTTAAAGTTACAAGAATATTGGTTACCATGTTTATGGAGGGGCGGGGGAGAAAGACTTGAAGGTTCTTACCAAAGTGTTTTCAAAAGAAAACTAATATTACTACTAATAACTATAAACTAGTTACTCAGAAGTAAACTATAGTAATAGTTTTATTACTATAGTTTACTTCTGAGTATTTGGATAATTCCTCAAGCACTTTTAAAAGTTTGTATTTTCTATATTTTCTTCAGTAATTATTGTTTTTACAATAATAATTATTTCTGAAAGGAGAATGCTAGTTTAAGGGAAAGATTGTTTTACAGTTTAGTTACTAATTTATGTATTCGTTCCTCAAGTATGTATTGTAGTGCTTACAATATGTGGAATACAACATGCCACACCTAATCCTGGCTAGATGTTTGAGATAGAAAAACGAAAAGACAGTTCACTTTCTTCCAGAAATGTTCAGTCTAACAGGGAGACAGACATGTAGACAAATAACTTCAGTGTAATATAATGGAAAAAAAACATGTTCAAGGCATTGCAGCAGTTTGGGGAGGGAGCCTTCTAGATACATTTGTTTGAATCTGAGTAGGTATAACATTTAAGACACTTTTATCTAAGCCTTGAAATCTGCCAGGTTGACAGATAAGCTGAAGGAAGGCATTTCAGTAGAGGAAGCAGCAGCATGTGAGGTAATGATAGAATATCCAGGTGCAGATGTCCAGCTTTGGTTAGAATCAGGAGGGAGAGCTCCATGCAGGAGTTATCTAAGCAGTGATGATGCTTGTAGCCTTGAAGGAGTGTGAGACCACTAATAAAACAGCATCTTCGAGAAAGCCTTTTTAAGTCATAGGAGAAGGAAGAAGATGCCAGTGAAGGACCTAGAGAAGTAGGAAGAGTTAGAATGTTATGATCTGGATACCCAAGAAAGCAGAGATGTGTGAATGGTCAGTGATGTCCCCTGCTACAGAAAGACACAAGCACTTTGCAGTGTACATACTTCTAGTATTTTACCCTTTTTCTGTTTTTTTTTTTTTTTAATTATTTCTTAGTCTACATGCAGTCTTTTGTCCTGCCTTTTCAAAGTGAATAAACTACAATTAAATTTTTTTTTCTTTTTTTTTTTTTAGGGTCTTTCACTTTTGGGCCTTTGGGTCTTTCCCTTTAAGAAAACAAATCAATTTGTAAAAAATTCAGGAGAATAGCTTATGAGAAATTGGATGTATGTGTAAAATAAATGTATTCAGAAAGTTAGCACTGAGCTTACTAGACTGAAACAAAGATGACTTATTCATCTTTTTGCGGCAGACACCTTGATCAGTGACATAATGAATGAAAGGAGGAAGGGGTGGAATTAGAGGTAGAGATATTAGCATCAATTCTCAGGATTTTTGTGTTTTGAAGACTTATTTATACTTAGATGGTTGCAAGGTATTTTAGCTTTGAAAAATAGGTGAGATGGATACCTTTTCTTGGGCTTCCCTGGTGGCTCAGGTAGTAAAGAATCCTGCTGCAATGTGGGAAACCTGGGTTCAATCCCTGAGTTGGGAAGATCACTTGGAGGAGGGCATGGCAACCCACTCCAGTATTCTTGCCTGGAGAACCCCCATGGACAGAGAAGCCTGGCGGGCTACAGTCCATGGGGTCACAAAGAGTTGGACTAAGCAGAGTGTACCGTTTCTTCTTGAGACTGAGAGCGAGAGGCCTGGGTTTTATGCAAATGTTTTCAAGATAGGAAAGCACAAGGAACCTAGGACTGAGTAGACTTAATCTCAGCACAGCAGCAGTAAGTGGTGTGCTGAGAGTGGAGATAGGAGGGGGTTAATTCTAAGCTTCAGGAGCTACAGTTGTTGTTTAGTCGCTAAATCATGTCTGACACTTTGCAACCCTGTAGATGGTAGCCTCCCAGGCTTCTCTGTCCATGGAATTTCCCAGGCAAGAATACTAGAGTAGGTTGTCATTCCCTTCTCCAGAGGATCTTCCTGATCCAGGGATTGAACCCACATTGACAGGTGTGTTCTTTACATCTGAGCCACCAGTGTGACTTTAGGAGAGTGAGAACTAATTGTTACACGTTCCTTCTGAGGAAGATAATGATGGGAAGAACAGCAAGAGGTAAATGAAAGAGCTGTTTAGCAAATGTGAGGACCTAGCTGGGAACCAGTAGGATGGCATAGAGGTTAGGAGTGGATTGTGGACTCGTTCCTGTCTCAGTGCTAATAATTTAGATTGTAAGAATTTGAATGAATGACTACTTTTTCCACAAAGTATACTGTTTCTAGAAACTGTTAGACTGAGAGATGTATTTAAGAACAATTCCAGTTTAATAGAAAACAAAATCAGAAAATTTAATATTCATGTAAAATTACATTATCAAAATGAAGGATAGGCATGTATATTATGACCATATATTTTTAGCAGTAAGAGGTAACTCACCTTCATTGATGAAAGTTACCGGTGGTATCTTGAGAGGGCTTTTGGTGGGAGAAGTTATCAGATCAGATGGTGGCATTAAATCTCTGGGATAGCCTGGATCCCTCTGTATCTCATTGCCTCCCAGCAGACCAGGAGTGTACTGATGACTGTTAGGAATGTGCTGTGGCACGACCTGGACGAGAGGAGGAGACACATGGGGGTCCTGTCGAGAAAATATCCTCAAGCACTGTTCTTCCAACAAAGTGATCATCACAGACTGGTTATTGACCAGATCAGTCAAGGAAGCGTATTTCACCTCCAGTTCCCTGTACCTTGTTGCCATCTTCAACATTTCTGTGGTGACATTGAGGATTTTATTTTCCAACTGGGAAAGTTCAAGTGAGTTATCCCTCTTTCGGATAATCTCATGCAGTAGTTGCATATAGAGCTGAGTGACACGGGAGTTCATGTTACGGCTTTCTTTCCTCAGCAGCTTTACCTCATTGACAATGTTTCCATCCACATCCACCACCAACTGCAGGACATCTATCTCCCGCTTCTGCTTGGAGAGCACGTCCTTCAGGTTCTCAAGATCCATCCTGGTGATCATGTCTTTAATGGTACCTGCATCTTGCCCTTTGGTATTGACACATATTGGCCCTGTTATTTTTTGTTCAGGTACCAGAAATGTGTATGAACATTTCTTTGCTTCCTCTTTACCATCTGTGGCGCGAGGGTATCTCCTCTGGGTTATTTTTTTAATTTTGAACTGTCCTCCTCTGCAATGTCCAATGCCCATTAGTAGGAAGAATAGCACACTTAGGGTCCAGATAAAAGCCTTCATTTTGAAATGAGGTTGTATGCTATCTTTAAAAAAGAAAAAGCAAACCAATGAAGGGAAGAAGTAGAAAATAATTAATATTAATCTACTTTTTAAGTCAGTAATCTAAAAAAGTATCTAAGGGGAAAACTGAATGTCTATTGCTGTTAATAAATGGGGCCAGAATTAAAGTTATTAATTTCTTAAATTCGATATTAAGTGCCTTCCTATTTGTTTAAAAATTAGGTTTCAGAGAAGAGCTTTCCAACTACCATCTTATGGTAATGCTTTTTGTTCCCCAGCTGAGTGAGCAGATCTTAGTGCCCCTGTGTTGAGGCATATGGTTAGATGCTCTTGGGGCTTTTGAGACCCTAGTAAGATACTTCTCTTACCTTTAAAAAGCTCACTTGTCTTAAGGCTCGGAAAATGGTACATAATGCCTGTAAGAAATTAATTACAACATTCTTCTCTAACTAGTGTGAAAGTTGCCAGTCAGTGTTTTGTCTTTATATTGTATGTTTTGAATTAATTTGACTTTCTCTAATAACTATCTTTTTCATCTGTCAAATTAAAGAAACATTTTTAGACAAATGTAAAACCAGAAAGTTTTAGCATCGTAGTTTTTGTTGTTTTCGTAGTATGTCCTTTGGGATTGGTGACGAATTTAAGAATGATAACATGCTCATAGTCATTATTGTGGGTAATCATATTTCCTAAATCATAACCCTGTATATGCTCTAAGTTTATATATGATTCAGCAGGTTCATTCTTCTAACAGAAGTCCTACTGAACTGCATTTTCATAAAATAATAATTTTTTATAACCATTATCAAGGAAAGAAACTCATCTGTAGTTGAATCTGATCACTGGAAAGTGCCTTAACAACCATCTCATATCACCTAAGACTTCTCTGCTCCCATGGGCATGTTGAAGGCCAACGCCACACAAGTAGGTAATAATAGAACCAGGTCTAGAATTCAGGTTCCCTGGCTCCTTGTCAGTGTTTCTAGCAATGGCACATAGGCTAAAGTGTGTGCTTGGAATGTTTCACTTCTGCTGTGAAAGATAAATGCTTATTTTTTTATGGTATAATCTACAGAAACACTCTAGAAAACAGTAAAACTAGTTCCAGGATCCTGTCTCTTTCGTTACCTCCCTGCAGAGTAGTCGCAGTTAGAATGAGTAGGATGTGTCACCCTGTCGTTAGTATAGCCCACCGCGCTGCAGTGTAGCCCACCCTCCTCTCTTGTAAACTTGATTCCTATGTGCTGTTTCTGAAGGATAGCAGTGGATATACCAAGAACTTTTCTATCCCATTTTCTACAAAGTTGTTTTTTGATTTGGGAAGCCAAGTCCCAAATCATTTATGATGTTACTAATAAATAGGAATGCAGCAGTAACAGTGGTTCATTTTTATTGGGTGTGCCAGGCATTGTTTAAGCCTTTTACATGCATTAAATCATTTACATTTTTACCACAGCCCTCTGAGGTAGATTATTACAATCCTCATTTTCAAATGAAAAAACCTGGCATCCAGATGTTAAGTATCAGTACCTCACCCAGAGTCTCACTGCTTTCTAAGACATGGAGCCAGAACTTGAACCCAGGCAGAAGACTCCAGGGTTCATGTTTTTCATTAACAGCCATATCATATGGCAACATATTCTGTCCTTTTTTCTATCACCAACACTACAACAATCCCTTATATTTATGTAGTGCTTAACTCACATTAACTGTTTGCATTCACAGCAGCACTGGGATGTAAACATATACCATTTTGCAGAGAATAAGCCTGGAGAAGCTGAAACACTCAGATGGGATTCAGACCTTCTACTCTTTAACTCTCTAGACCTGTGACTTTTATCCTAGTTGTATCATAACTGCAGAGGAATCTTAACTTTATGTTCCTTGTCTTTCACAGTCTCTTCCTGGTTTGTATCTTTTTACATTGACCCATTACTTAATTATGCACGGGTACTTGTGGATCATTTTTATATCCCAAGCTTTTCTGCTGCCATTCCTTTCCCTCCATATGTATTCTGTCAGTTGATAGTAGCATGTCTGACTTGATTATGAACCCTCCTAAAATTAAAGGTTGTATCAATAAAATATGGACTCTTCAACTAGAGTCATAAAGATGGGCTTCCCCTTTATGACGGGCTTCCCTCATAAAGATGATTACTACTTTCTAAAACCATGTCTCCTTCAGTGTTTTCAAATGAGTAAGGTTTGCAAACTGTGGAGTGATAATGAAAATAAAACAATGGATGGAGTGCAGGGAATTCTTCTTCCTTTACTAACATAAGATAGGAGAGCTGAGCATAATAATATTCCGTATCTGTGTCGGAGGCCTTCTGTTTGCTGACAGATAGCCGGAAGCACACTTGGATGAGTACTTTTCGTTTTTTGTTTTCATCCTTTGCCTTGTGACATCAGTTGAAAACTTAGACCAAGTGTCTTTTATTTTATTTAAAAAGGACTTTTAGTTACTATATTGGAGTTACCTGTACCAAAACCCAGTAAAATGTTTCTTGTTATACTTGCAGATTCATAGGATTTAGATATGGTTTATTTTTAAAACTGCAGACAGTGAAATAGAAGCTGTCAGCCTCCTGGGTGAACGTACAGCATTTCTCCTGTAGTTAATGCAGCCCTTGTTCAGATGCACTCGTTTCTTTCACTTTGATAATGAAATGGAAATTCTTAGATCATAGAAAATTATTTTATCTAAATAATCTACTATGAAATAAGCTACCAAAACAAGGAAAATTCAGCAAGTACCATGAAACTTCAAAACATGTAGACTTTTCTGAGCAGTGTTCTGACTGAAGATCTTACATTCCTACCAGACACAGATTTGTGTAGAACTGAGAAGCATATAATCCAACTCTGTTGGAACTTTGTACCGGTGTTGTTACGGAAGAACAAAAATGTGAAAATACAAATCTAAATTAAAATAGCCATAGCTTCCTTTTGCTGTATTCTGCCTTGGCTCTTTGTGGGTTCCTGTATGATTAAATCATAAGATGAATCACCATCTACCATAAGAGAATCTGACCTAGGATTAACATTTAAAGGGGACAACAAAAAGTTTATTTTTTAAAAAAATAAACACAATTTCCTTATCCTTTATAAAAGTCATGATTTCGTTGTCACCTAAAGTTGAATAAGGAACCACATTTCTTAAGTAGTAGACTAGCTACGTCATGCGTAAAGAATGAGTTTTTAGAATGCATTTACTGTTACTTTTTATGAAAACATTCTCTCATTTAATATTTTCCCACATATGTTCAGTTTTTAAAGTGAAAGATCCATAAATCTGTGTTACCTCATAAAACCTTTCTGTATATGTTAAAATTTTCCTAGGCCCCACGAGAATGTTGTAAATTAGTTACAGTATACTTAAGTTTAAATCTATGTCTGCTTGGTTGTTTTGGGGGTTGGGGGGGTGGTGGAAAGCCTTCCATGCTTTGAGTTAATTTTATTGGTACTATTTCTTTTCATAGTTGCTACATTGCCAGTTAGTAGAGAGAAGAAATGAAAGTCAAGATTTGACTTCCTTTCAGATGGTAAACGCATAGAGGCATTTAACTGGCTGTGTCATGCACTGAAAACAGCATGAGGCAATGAAATTAAATTTATGAAGCACTGAAGATATCTTAGATAAAGAACTTCTAGATTGTGAATTATGTTCTGGGAAGAGAAACAAGAACGATTTCATCCCCTGGAGATGTTTAAGAAAGGGATAAATAGTTATCTGGGTTTCAGATTAAATGCTTGCTTAAGGCTTCCGTGAGAACCAAGGTTTAATGGAAGTCCTGTACTTTCCATAGCGGCAACAACAGAAAAGAAAGAGATGGCATATTTCTGATCCAGTATTTCTTGGAAACTTTATCAGAATTTCTTATAAAACATGTTTAGCAGAGATTGTCCCAGTATTTAGAGTTTTGAATCTTTAAGGAAAGGACATGAAAGTAAAGTTGAAGAAATCTTACTTAGCTTTACCATTTTTTTGCTTGTTGAAGATTCTTACCTTGAATTTCTTTGATTTTTTTAAAAGGACAGAGAACCCCCAAATCATAACAAACTTAAGTGTCTGGTTTTAAAGCTCATTGTTGGTAACTAGTAATTTTATTTTTAGTCTTTAATAATACAATTTAAACAAAGCTCCTAGGTAGAATATTTAAAGAATTGTGTTCGTTGACCAAAATTGAATTTGTCTAAAAATATTATATACTTTTGGTCTTTTAATTATGTATTTAAGTAATTGTATCTTCTGGGTTCTTACTTTCTGTTGTTAATGCTGACCACTTATGCAATACTTCTACCACATTTTATTTCTTCTTCTCAACTATAATCTTTAAGGTTTCAGGACTTTTTATTGTATCCATCGCTTTGGTTTGTCACATAATTCCGATTGTAGCAGTTTTAATTTTTGTTACCCAAGTTAAAGTACTGTTACATGTAAACTTGGAAACTACTTAAAAGTTTGAGTTTTAGCAAGAAATACCATAGACTTATTTTAAAACTCTTATATTTAGGATTACTAAATACTAGGTTATATTTGATTATGCTGTGATTGGGGTATTGTTGCAAAGCCTTGCAGTTAATTTGATATCTTCTTAATGGTGTTTGTAGCTTTACTTTAAGATATTTTAACAGTATATGTAAATCACTAGCATACACAGTGTAGCTGTAAAGACAAACTAATCATGTTTACAACTATTTAGTTTGTATCCCTTTGTTCTTATCATTGTGCAATAAATCATATACATTTAATGTTAATTGTTAAAATTTCTAATGTCACTAAAGCATTTGTTTTCTGAAATCCAGAAGGTTAAAAAAAAAAAAAAAAAGAAATCCAGAGTGTATATACATCAGTCTATAAACATACACAGTAAATATCATTAAATTGAACCTCAAATAATTCATTAATCATCACAAAGTATATAATGACCAGTTTTATATAAAGTTGCAAAACAAAACCTTTTCCAGACAAGGCAAATTGTAGTATGTTCCAAAAGTCTTTGATTAATAAGCGATTTTGAAATTTCTGCTACAAATATAAAACAATTATACATTTCAGCATACATAGAATTTTAAAATAAAAATAAAAGAAACATTAAAGTACCTTTTTGCATCTGTTGATAAAGCAAGCCCAGAAACTTGCTGCTGTTACTCTTGCTTTTAAAAATCAGTGTAGACGTTTGTTCGTCTGTGACTTTAATGGCAACTGCATTTTTGTTTTGGACCGTTGAATCCAAGCTGTAATAAGGAGCTTCTTTTTCTTCTTACAGCACTAATCAATTGAATTTGACAAGCCACCTATGTAATTTTAAGTAGTAGAGTGGAAGTTCCTGGTCTGCGGGCTGTCTTTAATCCAGCAGAGAAAGCATTGTGGCTTTGCTCTGCCTGCCACATGGAGAAATGCAGTAAAACCAGCTGCAGCTGACCCAGATTGTATATACAGTACCCTTGAATAGTGATTCCCTCTCTTTCTCAGGAGACTCAAGTTCAGCCCACATATTACGTCACCAAAAATTTGCTGGAGACTAGGGGGGAAAAATCTTAGGATTTCCTCTCTGTAGCCTTAAATAGGGGTGGAGGTAGTGGCATCAGCAGGAGGTTGAACGCCTGCAAACAAGGAGAGACTGTGTGCAGGTTGAAGGAAGGGCACCATCTGGAAACAAACTATCATAGTTCAACGGGCAATTATAAAACAAACATGTGAGTCTGCCGCCCAGAGATCTTTTAAGTTGAATACTGAAAAAATAGTATTCAACTTTACTTAGAAGTAGTTGCAGGCTGATGAGTTTGTTTTTTTATTACAAAGCTCAGGAGTGAGACTCTGTTCTAAAGAGGCAGCCTCCTAATTAGCCTCCTAATCCTAATTAATAGAATACAGCCTGAAAGAATTTTTAAACATTTTACAGAATTTGCCATTTTAGAAGGTTTTGAAATTGTAAGAAAAACCTGGTGTATATTTCTAAGATAAAACTGCTCATTATATATAATTATCAAAAATAATTGAAAAACTAGGTATAAAATTCTCTCAGAAACTTAATACTTCTTAAATTCTAATGTTATTATTTAACATCAGAATTTACTTATATGTCACTTCCTCCTATTCTGCAACGTGACCCCACTTGTCTGAATACAGTTATTCCTATTAGTTTATGTTGTGATTTAAAAGCAAACATAACCCTGGCCTGAGTCACAGGGGAGAGTTCTGAGCCCCCCACTGGCTGCGGGAACTTAGACAAGTCTCTTTACTACCTCTGACCAGTTCTTCTGCTGTGAAATTAGGGTGCTGCTGAGAGAACTAGTAATTGTCAGATACCAACTATGCCTTTTTATTTCTTTAAATCAAGAACGTTGATTAACTCAGTGACTGAGGAGACACAGATTTAGACATCTTAGGTAATTTGGCTTAGGACTTAAGTACTAAGCTATAGCACTGGGATTTAACTCTCACTCCAGAGCATTTGGCCACACTCTCTCTGGTTGGATTATATAATTATTGATTGCTGCTTCTAGATAAAACTTTGTGGGCTTCTACTTTCTGTACGTGTTGTGTGCATGTGTGGGTGTAAGTCCCTTCAGTCATTCTGTCCTCTTTGTGACCCTATGGACTGTAACCCACTGGACCCCTCTGTTTTGTGGGGTTTTTTCCAGGCAAGAATACTGGAGTGGGTTGCCATGCCCTCTTCAGGGGATCTTCCCGACCCAGGGATTGAACCCGCGTCTCTTACGTCTCCTGCTTTGGCAGGTGGGCTCTTTACCAATACCATGTGCTTTTCAAACCCTGTCGTTGCCTTACTTTGTGCTACTCTTTCTCAGGCCCTACCATCAACTCTGTTGATCAACGTCCTTTATTTGAAGTCAGCTTAGTTTCTACTTCTTTCACAGAATTAATTATTTCTTTAAGTTCCTGTGACACGCATAGGTATAGCAGGGGTCTACTCAAAGGCCTATAGATGCTCACAACAAGAATGAAGCAGGTAATGTATATAGGTGAAGTAAATGAGAAGTAAGAGAGCAGGGGAAAATAGATTATGACAGACTGACATCTGTAATGATTACTGTCTATCCTCTTCCCAGCTCTACCTCGCTGTTGCCAGATCTCCCCATTGTTTTAAGGAAAAGGTCATAAAGATACTTCTATGTTACTTCCTGATTTTAAAAAGATTGGGACAGCTTCTAACCTCTGATTTATATTATGTAATACATTACTTGATCATTCAGTGATCACATTGTATTCACTAATAGCTTAACCTGGAGAAATATGATAGTCAACTCCTTCAGAGCTTTTTTGTTTAAGCAGTGTAGAGGTTTCTAATTCAGTTCTGTTCAGTTTAGTTGCTCAGTTGTGTCCAGCTCTTTGCGACCCCATGAACCACAGCATGCCAGGCCTCCCTGTTCATCACCAACTCCCAGAGCTTGCTCAAACTCATGCCCATTGTGTCAGTGATGCCATCCAACCATCTCATCCTCTGTCGTCCCCTTCTCCTCTCACCTTCAATCTTTCCCAGCAACAGGAAACTGACTCTTTTCCAGTGAGTCAGTTCTTTGCATCAGGTGGCCAAAGTATTGGAGTTTCAGCTTCAGCATCAATCCTTCCAATGAATATTCAGGACTGATTTCCTTTAGAATGGACTTTTTGGATCTCCTTGCAATCCAAGGGACTCTCAAGAGTCTTCTCCAACACCGCAGTTAAAAAGCATCAGTTCTTCGGTGCTCAGCTTTCTTTATAGTCCAACTCTCACATCCATACATGACTACTGGAAAAACCATATCTCTGACTAGATGGACCTTTGTTGACAAAGTAATGTCTCTGCTTTTTAATATGCTGTCTAGGTTGGTCATAACTTTTCTTCCAAGGAGCAAGCATCTTTTAATTTCATGGCTGCAGTCACCATCTGCAGTGATTTTGGAGCCCAAAAAACAAAGTCTGTCACTGTTTCCATTGTTTCCCCATCCATTTGCCATGAAGTGATGGGACCAGATGCCATGATCTTAGTTTTCTGAATGTTGAGTTTTAAGCCAACTTTTTCACTCTCCTCTTTCACTTTCATTAAGAGGCTCTTTAGTTCTTCTTCACTAGTTAGTAATTCATCTCACTGACCAGGTTTGGAAAGTGGAATGGCAGGTGTGTAGATACAAATTATGGTTAGTTTGGCATGTTAAATTGAAAATGAAAGTCAGGAGCTGTGTTCTTTAGAGAAATTTGGAGAGTCATCAGCAATCAGGTGATGGTTGAGGTCTCAGAAATAGGATAATTCAGAAGTACTTGTAGAGTGAGAAGATTAATGACAGAACCATGGGGAATGCCAATTCCAAGGGACCTGAGGAAATGGAAGAATCGAGGGAGGATGGAAGCGAGGCAAATTCAAGCCAGTGAAGACTGAGAAAAAAGGGAGTGGTACAAATACAGCAGAGAGACTGAGCAATGGAGAGGAGGCCAGGGGAGATGTCTGAAGAATTAGTGTGAGAAGGTCAGGTATGCCTTTGCCAGGGTAAGTTTCAGCAACAAGACAGATGTGAATTTCACATGTTAGCATGCGTGGATCAGCAGAAACCTATATACTGTCAGTTTGTGTATCAGTTGATATAGCTTTAAAACCCAATGTGGTACTGTCTTGTAAAGTTGAACATTACATATACCTGCATGTATGTATAGATGTGTATATATCTCTCCTAGAGAAATTTTTGTACATGTGCACCAGTAGACATGTACAAGAATGTCTATAGTAACAAGGAGGAAGGGGGCAAGTTACTCAAAACTCTTATAAAACAAAATGAATAAATTGCGATACAGTTACATATAGTTTATCCTCTTAAGGAATTACAGCTATACTTAACAATATGAATGAGTCTTAGAAACAAAATAGACAAAGCAATCACAGACCATATTTTTTAAAACTTATTTAACAACCACTTATAAATCACTTATTGTGTACCCATTGTAACTCTACCAATATTATCATTTAATCACACATATAGAAGCATGATTTTTTTAAAGCGCAAAAGTAAAATAAAATGTGCAGGAATACAGACATGTACCTCAAAAAGAACAAGGGGAATAATCTTAAAATTAGAAATGGTAGTTCCCTCTAGACAGGAGGCAGAGAGATGACACAGGGAAAGAACATAAAGATGAGGCAACAGTACTGATGTTGTAGCTCTTACATTGATGAGCAGTTATTATATTATTTGATAACAACCAATATTATATGTTAAACTGTTAATTTTTAAAGATACAGTTATGATTCTCACACAAATAAAAAATGAATATATGTCAAAGGTTTTGTTTAAATCATTAAGTATACAAGGGAATCAGGGAGATATTTACAACAACTTCAAGGGAGAAGTCAGAGTACTGCACATACATGCAGGCCGTTGGGAATGCTGGAATGAATTTACAGATAGTTGCAAAATTGGTCAACATCCACAGGGCAATAATCAGTTACATCCCGCTGGACATAATTCATTGGCATTTTTATGGACAAGAATTTGTATTATTACCAGTTTTCAACAACTTATAAAATAGCTCAGGCCAAGAGGATGCACTGAAAACAGGATATACCTGGTAATCTTTTTGCCTATTGCAAAGTCTATCACAGTTTTTCCTGACACAAACTTTCATAGGTACCAAATATTACATAAAAATAGAATGAAGGATAAAAATTTAATTGTACCGGTCTGCATTTCTCTTTTAAGGTGTTTGTTGAAGAAGGCAGGCAAGAGTCCTGTCTTGAGGAGGGGATCAGGTTTAAAGGAAGGGTTGCTTTGCTTATGTTTTCTTGAATAGAGGAGATTTAAATGTGCACACTGGCTCTTGGGAAAGAGCCATGGAGTGCGAGTGATAGTGGAGGCAGCATGGATATGTTAAAAGGAGGCAGGAGAGATTATATTCAAAATCGCAGTTTAGATTTGGAAGAAAAAGAAGGGGATTCTTCTTCCTCTGAGACAGGAGGGAAAGAAAGGGAGCTCAGCGACAGATTTATTTGAAGTCATAAAAAATAAAGTTGAGAGTCTCTAAAGAAAAAGAAGTATTTATGATAGATGGCTTAAAGAATACTGTTAAGATTTACTAAATGGAAAAGGAATGATACTGGAATGAGTAAAAGGATTACCATTGCCAACTTTTTACATTGTGTTAAACACCAACTGTCTGGAAATACTGGTCAGGATTTTCATTTTTTAAAGTGCAAGATAGAGTAACCACCTGAATGAGTTTATTATCTTAAGCAGATAATATATAAAATACAAAAGATTTTCAATAAAGAGATTAGAAAGTCTTAAAAATTATTAAGTGACTGATACAGATACTGTAATTATTTGTAACAGTGTAAGTAAAAAAAAACCTTGGCGTACATGTGTATACTCTGAGATCCAGCTCTGTCACTAGCAATTCATGTGGTGTTAGGCACTTCCTTAATATCTGTGGACCTTAGAGTGTTTGCCTATGAAAATAGGGATTTTGACTAGACAGTTTCTAAATTCCTTTCTTGGAATCTGTGAGAAAGCTAAAGAACCGTTGACACTGACCTGAATATAAGATAATGATTTAGATGGGCAGAGCTGAGTTCAGGTATCATTTAAGATGGAAGAACTGACAGGAGAGAAAACATCAGGCTTATTTGGAAGGCAATAGGTACATCATTTTGGTTGCACTTATTCTGAGAGTTCATGAACAGGGAGTAATGATTTGAAAGTAGGAACATGTTGCCTTTTACACTTTACGCGTGCATAGTAAACTCTCAGGAAATATTTTCTGTAGATGTGACTTTGAAATCCAGAGCTAGGACAACTGAATTATTTGGGAGGATGTATTAATTTTGTTGGTACAGAAAAAGAGCAAGGTTAATTTCAATGTGTAGTTAGTAGAACTATTTCAAAAATCCAACTGTTAATCTTTAATAAAAACAAGACGTTTCTACTAGAACGAGACATTTTTCAAAGTAATTAAGAATCGAGGCTTCTCTGGTCCTCTAGAGGTTAAGAAACTACCTTCCAACGTGGAGAGGGAGGAGAGCGCAGGCTCGATCCCTGGTAGAGGAGCTGGGATCTCATGTGTTATGGGGACAGCTGGGCCCAAGTGCTCTGGAGTCTACACACCTCAGCGAAGAGCCTGTGTGCCACAACCCATACCCAGTGCAGCCAAATAAATAAATATTTAAAAGGAAAAAAAAAGTAAGACTCATGTGATAGTTACCCACTCGAGGCAAGCATGTGTAGAACTAATATTAAGTTAACTGCCCCATGGCAGGGAAGTGTTTAGGCTGGCTAACTTAAAACTTCTTCAGGCTGTACCACAACTTGCAAAATAGGTACTAGTGTATAGACATAAAAACCAAGGTTCAGAAATTAGAATAATTATCTTTATTTTATACAGAGGCAGAGCCAGTTCAGGAGCTCATCTTCTTTCCATTAAGACCCATGAGTAGGTAGGTACTGGAGTTTCTAACTTCAGCTTTAAGTTATATGTCTGACCTGGACTCCACGGAAATCTAGGCCTCAGTGGTCATGTTTTAACACAGTATTAATAATGAATATATTTTAAATATGGCATATATTGAAATATAGCTATAAACAAACTATACTCATCCAAACAAGTAGGAAGACACTCATTTATCTTAATTTTGTTCCAGGTATCTATCTGTCTGATTTAACATACATTGATTCAGCATATCCATCAACTGGCAGCATTCTAGAAAATGAACAAAGATCAAACTTGATGAATAACATCCTTAGAATAATTTCTGATTTACAGCAGTCCTGTGAATATGGTGAGTTTCCGGGAGTAATGCTGTGATTCATTTATAAAGGTTGATTCATTTACACAGTTGATGGCCACTTTTCACATAGCAGCGTACATCATCCTAATGTAAGGGAAATAATGATTATGTCACTGTTCAATGTTTAGCATCCTGTATAAGATCTTGCTTTTAAGGAGTTCAAGTATTTCATATTTAAAATGCTAAGTTTTATCTTTTGCTCTTCTGCAGTTTTGTAGCAACTTTGCTAACGTAATTTTCACAATTATTTTCTATTCTCTTCATCTCATTTGATCTCCCTGATCTATTATGTAAATATTTCTTTTATTTTTCAGTTAGAGAGTGAGCTGAGACTGTTGTACTAACAGTTGAGAAGCTTTCTTGAGTTCAAGAAGCTTTCTTGAGTAGATAACCAGTTTTTGTCCAAGATGTATTTTATGGAAACACACATGTGGAAAGAAGTTAATGCAAGCCCAAATGATTAGAAAAAAAAAAAATGTTATTGTTTTAAAGTGTTTAAATGCTTTCAGTTTGATAGAAAATAGAGTCTTTTACAGCTATGTAATTTTAATGCTGTTTAAAAACAGTTTACAATTTGTTGTTATTTAACTTTAATCTCTTTTTTATCCTTTTCTCAATTTTTTCAACATAACGTCAAATTGTAATGTTAAATCAATCTTATTTGAAATTTCTAAGTAGGAGAGAAAAAAACTACAAATGGGAGCCAGGCTTCTTTAAAAAAAAAAAACTAAACTGCCTTACATCTTACACTTAGATGAGGTTTGGCTATAAGTTACAATGATGGCTCTGATTTTTTTTTTATGAAATTTCTCAAATATGTGGGACTTTGTAAATGGAGCTGTTTTAATCTATACAAACAGCATGCAACTGCAGTTTTCTAAATTACCTTCAGTTTTACATTAAATAACATTTACCTCATTCATGTTCTTCTAGAGTTAATTTAAATTTTGGTGCTATGTCGCCTTAATTTACCTTTAAATATATTTTTCTCAGCTTAACTTTAGAAATTCTGCCTGAGATGTACTTTATCAGACAATTATTTATCATGTTTTGCCCTAGATATCCCCATGTTGCCTCACGTCCAAAAATACCTGAACTCTGTTCAGTATATAGAAGAACTGCAAAAGTTTGTGGAAGATGACAATTACAAGTAGGTTGGATCTTCAGAAGTGGTTTGTATAATTGTGTCCTGTCCTCCACCCTTTCATCTCTGTATTTAAACGTCTAAATACTACATCTTATCATGCAAATACAGTTGTGCATTACAGTGGTAAAGTTACCTATTCACGTGAATTTTTTAAATCAGTCACTTGATGTGACTGAGCCAGTATACAAGTACGTCATCTGTTCTTCTATTAAAAAGCATTATATGTTTCTCAACTTGTTGAGAGCTGATGTTTGATAGTTCTTGTTTTACATTTCTTCCTTTCTCTCTCCATTGAAGCATTGAATATCTTTATGGAAATGTATCTTTTAATAGACAAAAATTAATGAAACAATCCATGAATAGAAAAATTGCTCAACACAATTTTGAATTTGTCTTCAGTTATTTTTGTGTATTGAGAGAATATTGAACCTTCTGGACTCTGAATTAGAGACATATTAATATTTGTCCAGTAGAACACCACACTTGTCCTTTCCTCTATTCAAGCAAGTCCTTTGTTAAAGGTTTTCAAAAGTTACTTTTAAAACAGCTGATACCCATGTCTTTTTGCTTAACCATTCTCAGTCCTACCCAGTGGAAAAGGGATTTTTTCATTATTAACCCTTTTTATTTTCCTGGAGTAGGAAATACAACCCACTCCAGTATTCTTGCCTGAAAATTTCCTTAGACAGAGGAGCCTGGTGGGCTGCAGTCCATGGAGTCACAGTCAGGCATGACTGAGCACATACACATTGGCATTTATTTTTCAGTAGTGTTCTCTACATCATGACTGCCAGGTTTGTTTGTTTGTTTGTTTTAAGATAGAAGGATAAAAAAGTTATTTCTCTTGAGGCTTTTCATTTTCCTTGCAGCTTCATTTATTTAAAAACATTTCTTTTTGCTGTTTCTAAGCTTTCAAATTTAACTTTGTGTCTGCCACAAATATTTTTTCCAGTAAAAGATTATACTTTAAATTTTTATCAAAGTGAAAGATAAGGTTATTTTTTAATATTAATAAATTATACACAAAAATTTTCTTACACTGTGTGATAGTAGTTATCAGCTTCTTTGTTCCATAAGTTTCAACATTTTTTAAAGAATTCTGGAGGACAGAATTGGTATACATAATAAAAGGCTAGAGATTCCGGAAAACAACTGAAAATAACTTTTCTTCAAATATCAAATATATTGAGAAGCTCTGTACATATATTTAAAATGTATCTGAAGCTTTATTTATATTTGAAAACACCTTTATTGTCGTCGTCTCCACCATACTGTATCATTACCACTTTATCTTTCTGTATCAATTTTTGTTTTACAGAAAGTTTTTACAGGGTAATTCATTTGAAAATGTATGAGGTCAGCGCATCAGCTTTTTAATAATCTTGACAGTGTTTCACAGATCTGATCCCCTAGATTGTAAGTTTCTTGAGTGTGATGGTCTGTGTCATATTTATCACTTATTTCTTTCATCTCTCTACTGACATAGCATAAAACACTCATATTTTGTCCAGTTGGGTACAGAAGATTATCTTAAAACTCAAAACATGAATAAGTCATTATTAAAATTTCTGTGTCTGTCTCAAGAAACTTAATGGATTTTTTAAAAGTTAAAGTTTAACTCTTACAGTAGAAAGTGAAAGTCGCTCAGTCACGTCAGACTCTTTGCAACCCCGTGGACTATACAATCCATGGAATTCTCCAGGCCAGAATACTAAAGATTCTCCACGGGAATCTTCCCAACCCAGGGGTCGAACCCAGGTCTTCTGCATTGCAAGTGGATTCTTTACCAGCTGAGCCACCAGGGAAGCCCAGGCATATTGGAGTGGGCAGCCTATCCCTTCTCCAGCAGATCTTCCCAACCCAGGAATCGAACCGGAGTCTCCTGTGCTGCAGGCGGATTCTTTCCCAACCGAGCCACCAGGGAAGCCCCTTCAGTAGAAGTGAAGTCTCAGAAATTGTTGTATAAATACAGATTATGGTGAATTTTAATGCTGAAAGGATAGAGTTAACTAAGCTGTTCAGTAATTTTAGCTGTCTGTATCCTGGCATGAGAGCTTCATTTTGGTAGGAAAGTGGATGCTGTTATACTGATTTTTGTTTTCATGAGTTAACTAGGACTCAGGCAGCCTTCCCATTATACTCATTGTGTGTTAGTCACTTAGTCGTGTCCAACTTTTGCAACCCCATGGTCTGTAGCCCATCAGGTTCCTCTGTCCATGGAATTCTCCAGGCAAGAATACTGGAGTGGATTGCCATTTCCATCTCCAAGGGATCTTCCTGACCGAGGGTCAAACCCAGGTCTCCTGCATTGCAGGCAGATTCTTTACCATCTGAGCTACAGGGAGGTCCCATTATATTCGTAAACAAATATTTATTCAGCTTTTGCTGTAGGTGAATGCTAGATAGCTGCTGGGATTACAAAACAAATAATTACAAAATAGTTCAAAGAGTACTATACTAGAGATGTGCCGAGGATGCTGTGGGAACATAGATGGGGGAGACCTACCTCAGCTTTAACTGGGAAAAATGAAGAGAAAATAAACATGAGCAGCTTCAGGTGACCATCTTACCTTAGTCTGCATCTTAGCAGGTGAGTTGCTCCACTTGAAGAGTTAAGAAAGGTGTTTCAGAATAGGGTGGGAAGCTATGTTTGCTTGGGGAACTACAAGTCACTTGGTAGTATTGGAGAAACTTACGGGAAGCTGAAGAAGATAGTGTTTTCCTAAAGATGCAGTTGTGTTGCATGAACCTACTGATTAAATGTGTTGAAAATCAGAGCATTTTAACATAAGAGCTATTAAGGTCATAAGTTGGGAAAAATGGATTTTATGATGAAAGATTTAAATAAAAATGACTTTTCATTTATCCATAAGCCTCTGTTTTTGGCAGCTTCATCTACATAGGCAGCCAGTATCAATATTACAAGTTACATGCGTGTGTTTTAATCAGGGTGAAAATCTTTCGAAGTTATTTCATTTTAATACTGAGCATAATATCTTTTGGAGAAGGAAATGGCAACCCACTCCAGTATTCTTGCCTGGAGAATCCCAAGAACAGAGGAGCCTGGTGGGCTGCCATCTATGGGGTCGCACAGAGTCAGACACAACTGAAGCGACTTGGCAGCAGCAGCATAATATCTTTTCTCAGTGAATCAGCATCACTGTTATATATAGTGTTTTGATGATGATATAGGCAACTGACACTGACTATCCTGTGCAGTTTAAGATGCTTCCACTTTTTATATTGCTGTCAGTTATCAGCCATTATTAATAGCAATGTGATTCTCCCATAGCCTCCTTTCTGTTCCTTTCTGTTTTGGTTCTGTGTTAGGAAACTCTGCTTAATTTGTTTACTTCTTTGTCTTCCACCTTCTAGACTGTGTGCTTCCAAAGGGGAGAGACACCCTCCCTGTCTGCTTTAGTCTCCATTATATTCCAGTGCTGAGAGAACAGTGCCTGACACAAAGCAGGTGTTCACTGAAGGAATATAGCATAGTCTGAAGCTCACATAATTAAAGTCAGCTACCCTGTAATAAGAAAAAGAGCAGAGTTCTGGTTAATCATACATCTGTTCAGTACATGTACTTTACATGGTTAAGTAATTAGTGTACAATTATATATGATTTCTTCTTTAGGATATCAAAGACATTGATAAAAAGTTAAGCACCTATAATAGATTTATCGTTATAATATCATTTGTATTATGCAGTTTCATAAAAAATTCATGTTGGTAGGATGCTGAAAAATAAAGTCTTTATTAATTTCCAGACAAATGCTTAATAATAATGCAGAGTACACCAAAGTATATTTCCTGGACTACACCAAAATATTTTCTACAACTGCTTTAGTATCCTATTTCCTGAAACTGTTTCTACTGATAGGAATTATAACCTCTTTTTGCTGCAGAACTCAAAATTGATACATTTCCCTAAATGGAACTTGTGTGTGTGTGTGTGCGCGCGCGCTCAGTCACGTCTGACTCTTTGTGACCCCATAGACTATAGCCTGCCAGGCTTCTTTGTCCATGGAATTTTCCAGGCAAGAATACTGGAGTGGGTTGCCATTTCCTTCTCCAAAGGATCTTCCTGATCCTGGGATTGAACCCAGGCCTTTTGTGTCTCCTGCATTGGCAGGCAGATTCTTTACCACTGAACCACTTTAATTTCCAACTAATAAACTCTGACTTAGAAAAGGGACTTATCAGGGATTTTGTGAACAGCCTTTTTATTTGTATAGATGGATGTTTCTTTTGATAATTTGAGTTGGTTGGTTTTTTGGATGGTTAGTTTTAAATAAGGTGTTGTGTTGTTTTTTTTTTTTTTTAAATTTTCAGTGCTACAGAGACCATTAGCCCATCCAATAAGGATTCTAGAAAGAATTTGCATAATTTAATGAAATGTGGGAAAGCTACTGAACTTACTTGCCTTGTGTCAGTATAACCTCAGGTTAAATCACCTTTTAGTCATTCACCAAATAGCTTTAAACGTGTTGAGTTGTTTGGCAGTTTTGAGGTTCTTGGGAGAACTATCTCTGTTTTTGAATATGAGGTTTTGATGTTTTTCCCTCTCTAATATTTCCTGGAATCACTGTAAGATCAGCTTTGTATGAAAGAGAAAGGGGACTTAATTAAGATCACCCTTGAAGAAAAATACACAGTTGAGGTTATTTTATAAAAAATGTTTTTAGGCTTTTGGTAGAAAAATACATGATTTTAATGTTATTTTGTCAAATATTAATCATTTTATGTGTTTTTTTCCTTTTTGAAATTCAGGCTTTCATTAAAGATAGAACCAGGGACAAGCACACCACGTTCTGCTGCTTCCAGGGAGGATTTAGTAGGTTAGTGCAGCTTTCTCTTGTTACTGAGTAATAAACCAGATAACCTAATAAGAAAGAAGGGATATACTCCAAAGTGAGTAAGTGCTTAGCACATTTTATTCTGCCTGCACAGTTTTATTTTTGGTATTAAAATATATCTTTTTCTGTTTGGTTTTTCTGTTTTTTCATTAAAAAGTTGTCACGTGTGGTTTGTCAGTAATATGCAAATTAATATGCCAAGTAATCAAGAGTAATAGATATAGCCAACAGAAAATAATAAGTAAGTGTTTATGAATTATCAACTCTTTTTTCATTAAGCATACACTGTATGAGGCAGTGAGGGTTAATATGTTAGAAATGTTTGTGGTCTAAGTGAAAAATTTACTAATTTGAATAATTATAGGAGTCAATTTTAGTGGCTTAATTTTTTTTTTTAATTTCACTCTAATGCTGGACCAAGTACTGAAAAGAATGGTCATAGTCTCTTAATTTATCTGTTGTGTTGCAATTGGGATTTATATGTATATAAATAATCTAAAAACATAAAATTGAAGAGAATTTTTTAAAGAAATCATAGACAATACCAAAATACAGATCTTGGCACTAAGCTTTGTATTATTGTATATCCTAAAAATATTTGGAGGCCCATCTAATAAGGTATGAAGAAAATGGGGAACAAAACCATGGCAGTATCTACAGGGGAGAGTGTTCCAAGCAGAGGAAATCATTTCAGGCAATATCTATTTAAATTTGCTTTTCTTTTCATTCTTAAAGTGATATTTTGCTTGTAAAGCAATTGTACACCAATAAAAAATGTTTTAAAGTGTTATTTTGCAAATCTGTGTACTTGAATCCTTGACCTACTCTACACATTCTGTGTCTATCAAGAAGCTGAAACTAAGAGTGAAGAAGTAATGTGTAAAATTAAATGAGAACTGAACTAGGATTCAGAAGACCTGAGGGTTTAGTCCAGGTTTCATGTGTGATATGAGACCTTTATACCATCTCTTCTAATTACGCTGCTTCCTCTATAAATAGGGAAAATATTTATACTGACTACTTAGGGCAAGTAAAATAGATAGAAATTAATAGATATTGTTTGTTTTGAGGTTTTGTGTTTTACGACTCAGAAACTAATATTTCTTATGTTCGGTCAATTAAATGGAATTAATATTGCCTTAAATTAAACCACAATCTTTATTTCATATCAGAGGATTTCAAATAGAGCAATCTTTCTAAACCATTTAACAGTTTCTCTCTCTCTCTCTCTCTCTCTCTGTGTCTCTGTCTCTCTCTTTTTTCATTTAACCATTAAGGTCCTGAAGTAGGAGCATCTCCACAAAGCGGAAGAAAAAGCGTGGCAGCTGAAGGGGCCTTGCTGCCGCAGACCCCGCCGTCCCCTCGGAACCTGATTCAGCACGGACACAGAAAGTGCCACAGCCTGGGTTACAAGTCAGCGCTTCCGATTTTCTCTTGCGAAGTTCTACGTATTTCATTGGATTTCTTTTCTACTTATTTCACTAGTTGGACAGAAAATAGTGTCCTTGCGTAGTGTTATATATGTAACACACAGTAGTCTTTTTCTGATTTAGTAAAATATCTTGTTTGCATAAAGGCATTTATTTCTTCCTTACCTTAATTTGGAAATGAGCTTTTTCCAATAGTGCTTTCACATTTTGGGGGATAAAAACATTACAGGTCATCATCATAAATAAAATCAGGAAAGCAAACACTATTTCCGTTTTAAATTATAACTTGTGTCATGAGGCATTGCTTGTCCTAACCAAAACAGGTCACCATAAAGCATATAAAAACTGTTCTTTTTATAACAAAATACAAAGAAAGGGAAATTGTCTTTTTGTTTAGCTTTATAAGATTGTTTCCTCAAAATGGACCCCACGGTTCACCTTTGCCATGATTTTTGGGAAAATTTAATAGACATTTTCCAAAAGTGAATGTGAAAATAGTTTTTAATGAACCCAAGCATCAAGATAAAATATTTTCTGTTATATAGGTAGATATGGCCTGGTTGTCTAAAAAAATTTTCCCTAATCTGTTGGCTTGAGGCTTTCATGGTAAAATCTGTGTGTTCATTAGTATGAGAGTTCAGAAGTAAGTTCAGGATAGCAGGTACATCTTTTATATCCTGAATCTTTATGTAAGAGTATATTTTATATCCTGAATCAGTAATAGTAATGTAAAGATATGAAAAATATTTCTCTTTGTTTCCAGTTTCATTCATAAAATGAACACAGCAGAGTTTAAGAGTGCAACGTTCCCAAATGCAGGGCCAAGACATCTATTAGATGATAGCGTCATGGAGCCCCATGCACCATCTCGAGGCCAAGCTGAAAGCTCTACTCTTTCTAGTGGAATATCAATAGGTGAGAAATAATTCTCTGAGAGGGTTCCAACTTATGTAAAATCAGACTTCTAAGAAAACTCAGCTGGAAAAGCATGATTAACCCTACTACAAGTAGAAAAAATAATTGATAAAAGCTAAGTAGCAAAGTGTGGATATAAGATCACATTACTAGTAGCTGCTAAAATTAATAATTCATGATGGTTTGAAAAGTGCTTGATGTTTTTTGACTTCAAAAGGGGAGGCATTCGAGGAATGGTGGGGAGGAGAACAGGCACTGTTTGAATTGGTTACTGCATGTAGTTGGAATGTAGGAATGAGGAAAGGGGCAGATGAGTTATGATTCCCAGTTTTTTCTTAGATTAAGCAGCTAGTTAGATGGTGGTGCTGTTACCTAGGCAGAGAACATTAGAAGAGCAGCCATTTGTAGGTATTGAGGTATTTGTAAAGGGTGACTAGGTTTGGGAAATTAAAATTTCCATTTTGGACATGTTTCTACCGTATTGAGTTGTCAGGTAGGTAATCGACTGAATCTGAAGCTTAAGGAGGTAAAGTCACATTTATAGATACAGGTATAAGAATTAGCATATTTGTAGTATTTTAAGCCATGAGACCAGATAAGGTCACAGAGGGAGAGGATATAAATAAATAAGAGTAGACATGCTAACATTTGGAGGTGTCATTTTTTTTAAATGGTCAACCATCAGAGGAAACTACAAGTGAGGGACCACTGAAGTAGGGAGAAAAGCAGTGTGGTATCACAAAAGCCCAGTAGAGGAAGGATCTCTGAAGGGAGGGATGTATTGAATGTATCCATGTCAAGTGCACAAAAGAGAAAATAAGATGAGAACAGGAGTTGATCACTGCATTTGGCAAGATAAAAGTCACTTGGTGACCTTGACTAGATTTGCTTTATAGAATAGTGTGGGCAAAGCCCTGGCTAGAGTAGATTAGAGAATGAGAGGTAAGAAAATAGAGATAGCTGTTATGAAGAAAACCAGGACTGGAAAAGGACGTGAAGTTAAGAAGAATTTGTTTTTACTTCCTAAACTGTTATTTATTTTCTGAACCTTCTAGCTGAGCATAATTTCTTTGGATAGTTAGGAAATCCCTATATGATGCTATTTTTATGTTTTAAAAGAAATAAAGGAGGAAAATGTCTTCTCTGATTAACTGCCAAGGTTGCTCAAGGGCTTAATCTATTACAGATGACTATATTAATACAGTCATCTCAATATTGATGAACAATCAGTAGGAAGAAATGTAGTAGTTCATTTTCTTGAACATATTGACTTCTTTTAACACTTGAGAGTTTTCGAACCCTGAAATTGCTTTGGAGCTGGAAAGCTCCATTCAGCAGTTTTATTCCAGTATTTCCCTTTTTATAAATGCAAATGATGCAAAATTTACAAAACAGAAGACAAGTTGGTCACCTGAAATATCTCTTCATTAATACTGTAAATTGCCTATATGCAAATATTAACTTCAATCTGAAAAGTAGTACACAGAATAATTTTGCAAAAGAGAGAGGAAGAAGGTTTTTCTAGTTAAAAAAATGTGTTACAGTTCTGGAATCTAGCATGTTATTTTAAGCAAAAAAAAAGTAATTTTAAAAATGATAGCTCTCAATTTAGTATAAAATATTTGCCTTTTCTGTAATACTTATCATAAATATTATAATGGTGATGATTCTCTGTTTGTGACTTTTACTTTCCATAGATGTTCTTTTGGTTACCACAAGATAGTTATCTAATTATTTCATTCCATTACAGTTAGTGTCTTATTTTAGAGAACTGTCTTTTAGAACAAGAAGGGGCTAATTCAATTTTTGCCTTTGTATTTATTGTTTAATTAGTCCAAGGCTAAGTAGGTAAACAGTAAGGATTGTTATATCCTTGTTTATAAATTAAGAACATTAGACATAGGCATTACTTTCCAGGGTGTTTCCTTTAAACCTTTAACATTCTGAAAAGAAAGTTTATAACCATAGCTGGTAGTTATTAATATACACACGCAATTCATAATAACAAAAAGATTTTTTCCTTAGCTGTAACTTTTACATGCAATATCAATTTATGTCTTGGAGGCTCTGAGAAAGTACCCTGGAAAAATTAACCAGTGCTTAGGACTGTAACCTCTAACATTTTCTAACATGGCATATATGTCCTGAATAACCCAGATAGTCTTGCCCAGCTGAAGGAGGCCTATCTACTCGAGGTCCATGCTTCTGGAAGAAACTTGTTTTCTACAAATGTCATACTAATTATGCTTAAATTTTCAGTCTTTATCACATAATATTCTACACATCAAAAATAACATACAGGCCTCCACTACCAACAGCAGATTACATCCAGTTTCTTATCTGAGCCACACAACCAGAAAATTATTTCAGTAATTGTTAGTACTTCCAAGGATGGTACATAACTTGTACCATTCTGCATGCATGGAAGAGGTGTTAAATCCATCACACATAATGGGTTCTTCATAGTATTCGAGTTTGAGCCTCTCAAAGAACCCTGGTTGTGAAAGTCTGATAGATGACTCAATGTGATACACAAAGGACAAATTATTGATTAATTATCTTTAAAATAAATTTTAAATCAACCTAAGCTGTTTTGGACTCTCCAAGCTCTTTCTCCTCCATTTGAGCTAATTTAAAACTTTTCTATTTTAACTGATATTCTGGGTCTCTAAGAGAAAGTTTTTACATTGTTATGGTACCTTTTTTTTTTCCTTAAGAATTCCATCCTCTTCTGCCTTGCCTCTAAAGACAGAAGTTGAATTTCATTGAGTTTTTTATCCTTAGGATAGTAATGGGTTTTTTTTAAAAAATGCAAAAGGAAATATACAGTGAACCTCTAAGAAATTTGTAATTATATTGGTCTTAAATTATGACAAGCCTAATAAGGAAAAATTGTGTACTTATTCTCCGATGGTAGAAAAAGTGTTTACTAATGTAATCAATTTTTAAGCCATAAGTATACATATAAAAATGTTTTATGCTATTTTGTTTCTTTGTGTAAACTTGTCAACTCTATTGTAATATATTGCAAAATAAATCAAGCATAATGATATTAGAATGAAGAACTGATATGTAGATGTTCACCCACAAATAATGTGAATAAGCACAGCTAGAGTATTTACTTTTAAAAAGTAAAATCTAAACTATAATTATGATGTTTAAAAAAATAAGATAACTTTTGATTTTAGGTAGCAGTGATGGCTCTGAACTAAGTGAAGAGACTTCATGGCCTGCTTTTGAAAGGTAAGAAAAATTGTCCATTTAAACTGTTTTGAGTTTATTTGTTTATTTTTAAGTATATGATGTTTCCCAAGTGGTTCAGTGGTAAAGAATCCACCTGCCAATGCAAGAGATGTGGGTTCAATCCACGGGTTGGGAAAACCCCCTGGAAAGGGAAATGGCAACCCACTCCAGTATCCTTGCCTGGGAAATCCCACAGAGAGAGGAGCCCGGGCTACAGTCAACGGGCTCTCAAAAGAGTCGGACTTGACTTGGGGACTAAACAACAACAACAAAGTATATGATAATGTGAATTTTAAGACATAATATTTATTACATATAAAAGGACTATTTAGGCTTCCTGCTGGTGGCAGAAATTGAAAGTTAATACTTAAGCCTGGAATTCAGTATTATCTAGTAAAGACATTTTATTTGGTGACTTGACACATATATTTGATTTTTAGTACACTTTAAATTGTAACTGAAAAGTAATAATAATCAGGGCTTCCCTGGTGGATCAGTGGTAAAGAATCTGCCTGCCAATGCAGGAGACACAGGTTAGATCTCTGATCTGGAAGGATCCCACATGCCTCAGAGAAACTAAGCCCGTGCATTACAACTACTGAGCCTCTGCTCTGGAGTCCGGTAGCCACAACTACTAAAGCCCACGCACTCTCGAGCCTGGTGCTCCACGACCGGAGAAGCCACAACAATGAAGCCTGCGTACCGCACCTGGAGAGGTAGCCCCCGCTGTCCACAACAAAGACCCAGCAGAGCCAAAAATAAATTTTTTTTTAATAAATAAAATATGAAAAGATAACTTAAAAAATAACAACCAATCATAGTCAGCTTACCTACTTACATGTACAAAAGTAAAATCTTTTCCTTAAATTCTGGTTTATTTAAGTAATTTTAAGGTATTTAGTGAAATGATCAATTTCATTCTCTGCTAATTTATACATTTTAAATTATACTCTAAATAAGTAGATAAAAGTTTGAATTTAAATTGTCATTAATTCAAAGGTTCCAGAAAGCACACAGACACATACTTAAATAAATAAGTCACATTCTGTTCTCTTTCCCTTGACGCTTTAATCTATAAAAGCTGTCATCTGCTTGCAGCAAATATGCTGTGTTGATCTTTCAGTATAAGATTTTTCTGAAAATGTAGGCAAGCAGAGCAAATAATTGTTATTTAATAAATATCCATTCGAATTTTGCTGTCTTTGATCATTTTAGTTCTGCCATTGTCATACTAAAATATTTGAACCTTGAGTAGAATAATTGCTCCTTTTGTGTATACACTAAGCAGTAAGTTTCTGAGCAATCCGACTAGGGTGAATTTTGAATGTCATATTAAAATTGATGAAGTTGAAAATATTTAGTTACCTAACTCCCTACCAGTCACTTTTTAATAGAAGCAGTTATACTCGCTATACATCTGAAATTGAACTATACATATTTCAGTTGGTTAATTTCATGGTGTTATTGGAAAAGTAGGTCCTTGGTCTTGAAGCTCCGTGAAAATTTCTTACCATGGTGATTAAGACTTTAATTGCATATCCAGTATTTCAAAATACTTTTGAACACTTCTAACTACCAGTGTTCTTAAGTTTTATTCTCTTTGTTTTGGGAAACTTTTAACAATTTGTTTTTACATATTATTTCTCTTCCAAGTTTTTATGTCAGTCTCTTTATTTGGGTTTGCCTGAAACAGGAAGATCGCAAGAGTTGCCTCTGGCATGCTGTCTGTACAAATTGTTTTGTTAGTTCTCTCCCTCTAGTAAAAACATAGTATCATCAGAAGTTGATTATAGTGTATTGTATTTAGATAAAAAATATTGATGAACAAAATTGTTTATCATGTGGCGTGAAAAGTAATCAAGTAACCAGAATGGTGTTGTGTTAAATAATCTGTTCTTATCCTACCAGGTTACTTAAGGACGATGGTATTTAACAGTGTTACCGTCACATCTCAAAATAGTATTTTTCTTTTGACAAATGCTTTGCTTTGCAGACATTTGCAGCCAAAAATATCTACTGTGCTTTTGCCAAGTTTAAATCAGTGGCTCTTTTGAACACTTTGAAATCAAATCAGTGCTGCCCAGCAATATTCAAACATGAAATATTAAAAAGTGAATAAAGAATTGGGATTTAAAATACTGTTGTACTTGTGGACAATGAACTTTGAAAATAGACATCAAATATTTTGCCACTTAAGTTGCTAAAATAAAACTTTTGGTTTTAAATATCATTTATCAACAGTGCTGCTTTTGGCTTTTTCTAGGCAAAGAAGTATCAGTGTTTCTGTGTGTGTGTTTATTTCCTTTGTTAAGTATCACATTCCATTTTGGATGAAAGTTAACTCATACCATTTTTTAAAAATCATTTACTGGCTTTATCATGTATTTCTTGTAGTTGATGTGAAAATAAAATAAAGCCTATATTTTTTACTCAGTTGATCTATTTTAGTAGTTTTTTTTTTAGATTTAATATATAAGAGAAAGGAAAATAAGGTGTTTAGATCACATTAATTTTAAGTTTTTAGATCACATTGCTTCTAGGCATCTTCATAGGTGCATATAATAAAAAATTATTATTCTATAAATCCAGGTACCATATGTAAAGTGGAATCCAAGAACTGGAATATAAACAAAAGGATTTCAGGCTTTGTTTGGATATAAATACTTCTTTAATTATTTTAGTAAATTTGTGAAAATGAATGTGTATATAAATACATGGTTTAAACTAAGAAGCAACCTTAAATATTTATAGTCAGTGGTAGAAGAAAATAATAATTTAAAATCTGTGCTGCTAAAGTAATTAGCCTCCAACTAATAAAAATAAATGGAAAAAAAATTTTTTAAATAAAAATTTGAAATGCAAAAAAAAATAAAATAAAATCTGTGCTGCATGCTTTTTTTTAAAAAAAAAAAGGAGCAATCATATACTATCCTTTTGTAGGAGTTAGAAAGCTGTGTTACATGAAAAAATTGTTATCAAAGCTGTATTACACAAAGAAATTATTATGAAAGCTGTATTACACGAAATTATTATACTGTTCTAGGTTATTGATGATGATTTTGTGAATAAAAGTAATATATGCAATTTATAATGGAATCCAACAGGAACAGATTATACCATTCTCTCGGCCCGGTGACAAGAGTGGCACGAAATGGCTATCGAAGCCACATGAAGGCCAGCAGGTACAATCCCCCTGCACTCAGGGGTCACAGAACTCCCCTCTGGTGGTGGTGACTGGCTTTCATAATTGTGGTCTCACATTACTTCTGTTCTTTCTCAGCTAATTGGTTTCAAAGCTAAATAAAATGCCCGTGAAAACTTTCTTTCCAAGGTTTAATCTAGAGATAAATTTGAAGTATTCTTTCTGATTCACAGAGCTAATTGCTAAAACTTGCATCTTTATGTCACATTCCTTAGATAATCCAAATCAGTAGCTTTTCAACTGCACAGGTCTTTTCTAACGTTGCTGATTGTTAGAGGAGCAGTGCAAACACCCACTTGTTTTTCAAAGGCTGCAGTCAGAGAATTGACTACATGCAGTTTGTCTTCTTTAAGGATTTTTCAGATTAACTGCAGGTCTGAATTTAAACAAGTCTGTTTTATGAAATAATACTTGTGTATTTAACTCATGTTCATTCGATTGTTTACCTAGTTAATCCTGATCTCCTTCTGCACTACGTTAGCTGATGAAAATAAAGGTGGTAGATTGATTGGGGACTGGAGGTTAATGGTAGTGAATAATCAACCAATTCTCATAAGACAATGCAATAGCAAACATTTTAAATTTAATTTTATGTCAGTTTAATTGTGTCTAATCTCCTTGGATATAAATAGCTCCAGCATGAAATTTCTAGTGGTTTCTAGGTTTTTAAGTCATTGAGAACACCTAAACAATCAAAAAGAGATAAACTGGCAAACTTCAGTTTTCATCACTGTTGTAGGAATTCTGCAGCTCACGTCAAATCACTGGAGAATGAGAGATTTTTTTTTTCATCAGTGTATATGTTTTAATTGACTCATAAAAATTGTTCTTAACTATAGGACCTTAAATGAGTTGGGGAAAGATATTTAAGTGTTTGATTTTTGTGATGGATTTCTTAAGATACAATAAAAAGCAATCTTGAGTTTTAGTTATTCCTTTCTCGCAGAGTTGTTAGGCTATAATCACTTAAGATGCACTGATGACATTAAAATGTCATTAAATTTTATTGCAGAAAGTTTGATTTGATTTTTTTAATATGTTGTTAATTGCCTTTTTTACTTTTCTCACCTACTTTAGAATTGAGCATGGGTTTTCTTTCACTTTTTTTCCTTTTTTGACTTTCCGATATTTTTATTTTGAGTTTTATATGCTTAAAAAGACTTTTAACATATAGAATCCTCACCTTTCCTACCAGGACTTGAGTTTCTTCTGGGGAAAAAAAAGGTTTCAGCAGTGCTGCAGTATGGCATGTTGAGAAGAAAAGTCTTGAATCCCTAATTTACTCTATACTAAAGTGAATCGCTGTATTCTTTCTGAATTATGCTTGTTCAGATATGCAGTAAAATGCGTTTTTTAACCACCTGCTGACTTTAATAACTGCCTGATTCATTTTGTGACAGCTTGTAAATTTCAGATCAGTAAACCTTTATAATTGTCAGTGTCTATAAAGTAACAGTCTTAAAATTGAAAATAATTACATTTTATTTAAAATACCTGCTTGATAATTACTCAAGTGCTTATATGTTCTTTTCTTTTCATTTTTATAGTTCTGCGGAATCAGAGGATTTGGCAGTACATCTATATCCAGGGGCTGTTACTATTCAAGGTGTTCTCAGGAGAAAAACTTTGTTAAAAGAAGGCAAGAAGCCTACAGTAAGAATTATTTTATGGTTTAAAACATGTCTGAAAATAAGCAAATGAATAAGACCCTAAAAAAATATGAAGACAATTGAAATAAAACCAGATATATAATACATTTGAAATAATTTAAAATATACCTTTGCCTCACAATGTTATTTAAAGTGTTATTATACCTGCCACATATTAATAGATTTTGGTTAAATTATACACTTAAGGTGTCTAAATCAAGATGCTCCTGTACTTCTCTTTGCTCCCTAATATAGTTCTTGGAGAATCTTGAAAGTATATCCTGTTAAGGAGTATTTTTAGAAGGAATAGAAAATAGAGAGCAAAAAACTCTAAAAAACAAGAATTCAGCCAATTTTGTTTTGTCAGTCCTAAGTAGAATGTATCAAGTAGACGTGGTAAGAATATTTGAGATAAAGATTTCAAAAGTGATGAAACTCAAAGCCAAGGTGGTGGAAGTGAAGTGGAGCTAAGGATCTTTGGCAATGAGGAACAGAGTGACTGCGAAGCTGGTAGCATTTGAGTAGTACCTTCATGTGTCTGTCCTCTCCAGGTAGCATCTTGGACGAAATACTGGGCAGCTTTGTGTGGGACGCAGCTTTTCTACTATGCTGCCAAATCTCTAAAGGCTACAGAAAGAAAACATGTAAGTATTCCTGTTCCAAGTCCTTAGCATAGTTTCACAGCCTGTATATGGTTGTAAGAAAAGTAGTCCTAATGGGATGCGAGGGTTTGGGGGTTTTTTCCCACTTTCTAACCCAGAAGTTCTTAGACTTTCTTTGTATGAGTATTGTAATGGAATTATTTTTGTTTAGTAATACCATCCCAAGAAAGGTCTTGGAATAACTTCCATATTTTGAAGTTCCTTTTTTGAATACTGTTTTTCCTTTGCAAATGTCAAAACTGCACCCTGCCGTTACCTTATCTTCGTGTCCAAGCCCTCCCAAACCTGGGGGTTTTTGTTCAGAAAAATGGTTGAAAACTGTTGCCTTGGAGTGTCATTTCCTGATTTGTAAAGTATTGAAAAATTAGGACCAGCATCTGCAGTTCTTTCCATCTCAGCCTCTGAGTGATTTTTCCAACAGTGATTACTAAGGTTACTATGGTCACCTTCTTGTTCTTGAAAGAAGCCTCGAAAAGCTCTTTTCTTGTAGAATCTTGCTATAAATGTAGAATCTTGCTATAAATCTTCTTTTGCATGCTGTCCTGCTTTTGTATGCCAGTGATACACTGTTTGAAAGGAAAATACTTTTCCGTTTTGCATTATCTCTTGGAAAGGAATTTATTTCTAAATTGTGTATTTTGAGGGTGGGGGGAATTAAGTGGTTTCCCATATTGAGGAAAGGTAAGGAAGACACTGAAAAAAAAATTAAGTTATTTTACTATTTATAAATTACCTAGTGATACTGTGTAATTCAGAAACGCCCCCTTTTTTTTCTTTTTGGCAATTATCACTTTATGTTTTTTTCCCCAACAATGGCTGGCTCTTAAAAACAATAATATACATATTGCATGTGTACATTTTAATATCAGGTATTACTTCACCAAATACTTTGACTAAATTTACTAGGATTTGGTGTTTTATTGTTGTTTTGTTTTTTCCTTTTAGTAAGAAAATCCCTAGTTTGAAGTTTGGTTGGATGAGGCCAGTTATAAGTTCAACTTCAAAAATTATCATTATGCAGAGAAGCTTTTCTTTATTCTCACAGTTTTAGCCCTTTAATCAAACCAGGGATAGAGAAGAACACAGTTTTGGTTTACATAAATGTGGGAAGTGCTGTAATAAGACAGCATCACCTGCCTTTCTTTATCAGCTGTACCCATACCCTATTGCTGTCCTGAATTTATGTTAATCATTGCCTTGCTTTTCTTTAGAGTTTGCCACTTAGGTTTCCTTAAATAATACATTGCATCATTTTTTAATTGTATCTGGATTGTACCTAAAAGGCACCAGCCTTTTTGCTCAGTATTATAAATGTCTAGATCTAGTCCTCACATTGAGCTGAAGGACTGTTTTTTTATATTCTAGTCAAATAGACTAGAATGCCCACATACCTGACAAAGCTACAGTTTAGTTTCACTAGAATGTTTTGCAAAGTAATTGCCTCTGGTTAGTATTGCTGTACTCAAAGGAGGGGGGAAAATGAGGTTAATATAGCTAAATTATCATCTTCAGATATAGTTAACTGTTCACTTAGCCACTTTGAGAGACTTGGCTAGATTTCACTTAAGTTGACTATTATAAGGAAGTAAAATGTATAAATTTTTTTGTTTTTTCCTAACTTTAATTAGAAGCCAAACTAGAGAATTGATAAAATAACTGAATTTGTCATCTAATACATATGCTAAGTATCTTTTTGTGTTTGGTATTGGTACTTACATAGCTAGTTTGGGTTTTTAATTATATGAAGTGATAAATAATGCATTTGAAATGTTTAGATATTAGAGCCTAGTGGGCTGTGAGGAAGCCAGATTGAGTGCCAAGGAAATGGACTGTGTTCCTCATCTTTTCTAGTTTAAACTGTTAAGATTAAAGAAAGAATTATAATAACAAAGCAGTATAGAGACAAGTCCATGTTTATATTTATCCAATTTTAGGATAGAAAAGGGCCCAGAACTAAAAGCAGTGGAGAAAAAGATTTTTAATCATTTTTCAAACAAAAGTTAAAAAGCGAATTGAAAGAAAATACTGGCTATATATAAGCAGTAGATGTGGGATTAAAATATATAAACAGAGCATCACCTGTGTGGTGTTCTTGTCAAAAATTTAATGATGAGGAAGCAATCAAATCCACATCATGGAACATTGTGTAAGACCACTGGCTTAGATTCTTAAGACTGAAATTTGACAGCTGGAGTAGGGTAGAGGGACAGAAGGAATATTCTAGATTAAGAGAAACTTTAAAAGAGTCTTGATAACTAAATGCAGTGTATGTACCTTGGTCTAATCTTGGAGGTGATTTTTTAAGCTATAAAGTTCATAATTAGGACAATCAAAGAAATTATAATAATGGACTTTGATTATGTCCATTAAATTTCTTAAATGTGAATGATTGTGATTATATAGTAATATCAGTATATTCTTAGAAGATAGATGTTGAAATATTTAGGGTTCAATATTATGTCTGACTCTTACATTGAAATGTTCAAAGAGATCAAACAAATGCAGAATGTAGATATATGGGTAATCCTTGTAGCATTCTTTCAACTTCTCTGTAGTTTGAACTTTTTCAAAATTAAAAGCTGGAGGAGGAAAAAAGTCACTAGTAAAAGTATATCTGTTCCTATATGTAAATAAATGCAGGAGGAAGAAATCTGGAAGCCTGCACCTGTTTTATTGCTTTCTAAAGTATGAAATTTTTTTTTTTTTTTTTTTTTTGCACATGAGGAAAAGAGCAGACTTGGGAATAGACAAGAGTGGAGTATGTCTTCTTAATGTTTTAAAATTAAAGCATTCACTGTAAAAATATTTTTAATGAAAGCATATTCATTATAACTTTTAAAAGTTTGCAGATATCTTTGAACCTCTCTGCATAGTCATGAGTGAATAAATACTGTTAGATATGATAAAAACCAATTCTACACCTGAAAAAGAAGTCTGTAACATGTATAAAGACCTTCCACAGCTCAGAATAAAACAACAGTAGAAAGATGAAATAGGGAGATAAAAAGAAAGTAAATATAAATGGTTAATATACATGAAAAGGTGATGAACCTCACTAGTTATTAAAAAGACAGATTAAAGAAGATGCTTTTTTTGACCAGTAGGTAGAAATTTTAAAGATTGATAATGTAGCATTGGCCATGATGTAGGGAAACAGACTATGACCCACAATTGGCAGAAATTTAAATTGATATTTTTTTGGGGTGGACAGTCCTACTGAGCATTTAACTTAATAACCAGTGACTCTTTATCTGAAAATCTGTTCTATGAAAAATCATTAAGCTAGTGCACAAATATCTATAGAGGAATATTCCTGTTATATTTATAGTATCACCAATCTGCAAATACTGAAAATACTTATTATTAAGGAAATACTGATAGGTAAAAACCACAAGTCAGAGTATAAGTATACCCCCATTTGTATATGAAAACCAACAACAACAAGAAAGTCTTTGATGTAATGCAGAGAGAGAGGCCCAGAGGACTACACCCCAAAGGATGGTAAATTCTGGGAGCAGGATGAGGTTCAGCTGGTGGTCGAGGGCATTTGGACTCTGAATGGGCTTATATTGCTTGAGTTTTTATTATTATTACTGAAAAAAGCAATTGATGCAGAGGTTTTGGGGTCTAAGAAAAGATATTAGAAAATCATGCTATATGCTTTGACATAAACTATAAACTGTCAGATCAGCTATGTATTGCCAATTTGATTCTTCATAGTATTGTTGTTGCTAAATCATGTCCAACTCTTTTGCAACCCCATAGACTGTAGCCCTCCAGGCTCCTCTGTCTATGAGATTTCCCAGGCAAGAATTCCTGGAGTGAGTTGCCATTCCTTCTCCAAGGGATCTTCCTGACCCAGGGATTGAACCTGTGTCTCATGCATTGGCAGGCGGATTCTCTACTGCTGAGCCACCAGGGAAGCCCTCTTCATCTTATTAAAGCTTCCTAATTCCTTTAGCTTTCATTTTTGCGGTAACCATGTTGTTAAAAATAATGTGATATGTTCCTTCTTTTTCCCATTTCTTTAAAATTCTGAAATACATACATGCAGAAGAAGCTACATTGTACATGTGTATATTTTAAAGAATAATAAATAAAATAAACGCGTATATAACTCCACCCCACATAAGACAGAGCATTGTCAGAACCATCCAAGTCTTCCCAGATAGCATCTTCTTCCTTCCTTATCAGCCATGATAAGGATCTTAGTTCCCGACCAAGAATCAGACCCATGACCCCTACATTGCAAGTGCGGAATCTTAACCACTGGATCACCAGGGAAGTCCATAAACTTGTGATTTTAGTGTATATACCCCAGATTATTAATGTTTGAAATAATTTTTTCATGTTGACTAGTTATTTGTGTTTCTTCTATAAAATGCCTGGATAATTATTTTGCTTATTGAATAATTTGTTTTCTTACTAATTGGTAAAAATTTCCTTATATATTCTGGATACTTATTAGCAATTATGTATTACTAATATCTTCTTCCAATTTGTTCAGTTTTTTTTCACTCTCTTTGTGATCTTTTAGTGAATGGTTCTTAGTTTTAAAGTAATAAAATTTATCTTTTATGCTTAATACTTTTTGAGTCATATTTTTTAAATCCTTCTCTAACTTGAGATCATCAAAATGTTCTATATTTTCTACTGGTAAAGTTTTACGGTTTGCTTTAAAATCATTGACCCATTTGAAGTCAGAGGAGGGTGTATGTGAGACGTGTTATGAAATAGGCACTCATTTTTATATATCTGCCTGGATAAGTTATTTTCCTGGCACCACGTGTTGAACAGTCCATTCTTACTTTGCTGGTCTGCAGAGCCCATTCTTGTCATTTGAGTTTGCATTGGTATTCACAGATTGCTTTCTAGACTTCCATTGCCCTGTCAGTCTGTCCTTGTCCTAGTAACTCACAGTCTCAGTTACTATAGATTTGTAAGTCTTGTGTAGCAAGGCAAGTCCTGCCTAATTCTTCAGGAGCATCTTGGCTGCTTCTGATCCTTTGTCTTACACACACATTTTAGAATCAGCTTCTTAAGTTCCCACATAAAACCCTACTGAAATTTTTGTTGAAATGACACTGAATCTGTAGATCAATTAAGGGTGAATTGACATCTTTACAACACTGAACCTTTTTCTTCATCTCATGGTATTTCTCTGTTGATTTAGGTCTTCTTGAGTGTCTTTTGACTGTTATACTTTCTTGTATGTCTTTTGTTACATATATTTCTAGGTACCTTTCTTAGAAGTGACTTTTATAGTTCTAGTGTATAAAATTGCAGATGACTTTTATAGTGATCTTTTCCAAGCATCCTTGCTCATTTTTCTTATTAATTTGGTGGATTTTCTGAATGGATAATACTATCTGCGAGTAATGGCAGTTTTATTTCTTCCTCATGCTTATACCTTTTATTTCTTTTTTTGTTATCTTATTATGCTGACTAGGTCTTCCAATTTAGCAGTGGATGGAAGTAACAATGGTGGGCATCCTTGTCTTGAAACTTGATTTTGAAATGTTTTTAGCATTTTACCCTTGAGCGTGTATTGCAGAATTTTAGTTTGGGTTTTATTTTATTTTGTGTTTTTCTTTCCTGTATACTTTGTTTGGTGTTTTTTTTTTTTTTCAGTCGGCGGGGTGGAGGTGGGATGTCGTTTGTTTTTTTGTTTGTTTGTTTGGTAGGTACTGTTGAATTCCTTGGAAGGGAATTTTCTAATTCAATAACAATACCTACCAAACAAACAAAAAAATAAATTCCATTCCAAGTCTACCACAAATATGCATTATATTTTAACAGATGCTTTTATTTCACATCAACTGAGTTGATCATATTTGAGTTGTGGCTCCAGAGTACAGGCTCAGTAGTTGTAGCACACGGGCTCGGTTGCTCTACGGCATGTGGAATCTTCCTGAATCAGGGATCGAACCTGTGTCTCCTGCACTGACAGGTGGACTCTACCACTGAGCCACCAGGGAAGCCGGACAGTTAAACTTCTGATAAAGAGTTGAAGCTGGGAAAGATCTGGAAAGTAGGAGACTATCTGAAGAGGGCATGCCTACCTGGAATTTAGTAGTAAGAGGCCAGGAGCAGAGCTAACTAACCAGCATGAAATCTTGTCTCTCCCTAGGACAAACTGAAAATACACTTTTTAACAGTAAGTTTTTACTTAGGATAAGCCACAAATTTTTTGTTTTTATTTTTTTTTTTTTATCTCTCAGTTTAAATCAACATCGAATAAGAATGTGTCTGTAGTAGGATGGATGGTGATGATGGCTGATGACCCAGAACATCCAGATCTCTTCTTGCTGACTGACTCTGAGAAAGGTGAATCATTGAAATAACTAGTGGTTACTATACAACTTTAGATAAGCTAAATTTTAGTTTAACTGGAATACTCAACTGGGGGCATTGCTTATATTGTTTCACCTCTTGGGAAATATTTCTGTCATGTGATGTATATTAATTATGCCAATAATTTTAGATATCAGTATATTAATTGTTTCTTTAATAAGCTTATTTTCTTTGCTACATGGACATAAGCTTGAAGAGCTAATAATCAAGAAAGGAAGTGGGAATTTGAGAATCTATAAACCACTGTTACTTTAAAATCTCAGATTTGCAATATGCAATACCCCTTCATTTATATCTTGAAATAAATTGTTATTGTTAAGTTCTGAATGTGGCAAAAGTTTTCCTTTAAGTGGTTTGTGTTCCATTATTTTTAATTAAATTAATTGGTTATTTGACCCAAACCACTTTCCAGATAAGTACAATTTTAATTATAATGCTTTGCTTATAATATGTAGAGACATTTATGAGTAACATTATTGGCTGTTAACCACGAGAGTTTTCAGAATGGATGAGAGAGGTTGGAGGGTGGGCTGTGTAGAATCAGGTCATGTGTCTCCTTATCCTGCTTGTGTGTGTCGTGGGGACCTCAGTGGTCATCAGAACAGATCCTCACATGGTTGTAGCTCTTGCTTTATAACACCTGCCAGCCATTGATGAGCACCACAGAGGAAGCCAGAAAGGAAATCGTTTCATATCTGCCCAGAACCTTCTACTTCAGCAGCTCACTACTAAAATGATATTATATTACCATTTATTGACTGTAAAGTTATATTCTTGACTTCTGTTTCTTTAGAATGTATATCAACAGATATTCTGCTTTTAAGATATTGTGGTATTTAGAGTAAAAATTTAAGAAAACATGCAGAAAAAATAATAGCAAGATGTCACATTTTGAGGTGAAATAGACTGATTTACAGAGTAAGGAGTTTCTACTCAACATTCTGAATTCAGCCTCCACCCTGCCAATCCCAAAGACATTCATTATTTATAAAAGTACATTTTAAAAGGAGATAATTTTCATAGGATTCAGTTAACAAATTCTTTGTTTTCCTTTGATTCCTTGTGTGTATTAGTCACTCGGTCATGTCCGGACTCTCTGCAACCCCGCAGACTATAGCCTGCCAGGCTCCTCTGTCCGTGGAATTCTCCAGCAAGAATAGTGGAGTGGGCTGCCATTTCCTTCTCCAGGGCAATCATTGATTCCTTAGTGTACTTGATAGAACTACTTCTGAGTACAAGGTTTTTATGAAATCTATACTGACAGCCTTTTTCAGGAAGAAGGGTAGATGAATGGCTGCTATGGCCAGCTTGTCAGATTATGCCTGCTATTTAGGTTGATCTGGTGTTTGATCTGGGTTCAACAAGCAAAAAATGTTATTTGAATAATTAAACATATGGTGAAGAGAACTTTTGCTTCTGAAAATGAGTAAGTCTTTGATTGTTAAAATCTCAAAGAAGAGCTGTATAAAGCCTACATATAGATCAGATAAGGCTCTTGAATCATTGGATGCAGTTATTAAGGAAAGAGTAGAAGTCAGTAAGAACTGGGAAATAAGACCTCAGGTCCGTGAGAAGGAGAACTAAGCTCAACTTAGGGCAGCCTATACTACATGAATCCCTTCTTTTCTCAGTTTATTACCTTAATACATATAAATGTATAAAAATACTCTTATTGTGTGTCAGTTTTTAATTAGTCAACATAAGGTCTAAATGGTCTTTCCTAGTAACTCAGATGGTAAAGAATCTGCCTACCAATGCAGGAGACCCAGGTTTGATCCCTGGGTCAGGAAGATCCCCTGGAGAAAGGGAATAGCAACCCACTCCAGTATTCTTGCCTGGAGAATTCCATGGACAGAGGAGCCTGGCAGGCTACAGTCCATGGGGTCACAGAGTAGGATGGATGAGACTGAATGACTAACACTTTCACTTTCAAGATCTAAATACATACATCACAAATAAAACAAATGAATTTCTAAGTTTCTAAAAGAGAAAAAGGTGCTTTCTCAGATTTTTCACATAACCCCTTACTAGACCTAGGAACTTCTCTAATAATTTTGACAAATGTAAGTAAAAACTAAAAGCATAGGTTATATTGATGTTAGCTGATTAATCCTTAATCACATTAAATAGCTTATGTTTAAGTGTTAAACGTTTTAGAACATTTTGGCCTATAAAAATTTAGTCTTAGCATCTATTAGTATTTAGATCATCTAAATAGTGCTGAGAACTGATATTCTGTACTCTCATACAAATTTAGAGAAGCCAAACAATTGTTTTATTTAGGTTTACTTTAAAGATCCTGTAAGAAAACAAAATACTTCTCTTCCAATTCATGAATAGCAAAGCAGTGACTTTCTGAATAAATTACAGCTTGTGAATGTAGCATATGGAACTCTGTATTGGAGAATCAGGTGAGAGAGAGAGAAACTGAGACTGAAACTGAAATAAACTGAAACTGAGAACTCTCATCAATTTTTGTTGTTTTCCCCTTGTTTTTAATAATTTTAGGAAATTCGTACAAGTTTCAAGCAGGCAGTAGGATGAATGCAATGCTGTGGTTTAAGCATTTGAGTGCAGCCTGCCAAAGCAACAAACAACAGGTAAGCATTTCTCTTCATCCTCAGAAGAGTCCATAAACTGGGAATGTATTTAAAAGAGCTGGAAAGAGAAGTACGTGGACTAATTTTTGGAATGAAGTAGGAAAACTGCATTGTTTATGTTCTTTTTTTATTGACCACAGTCAGCAAGACATGAGGTCCACATTTTAATGAGGGAGATGGGCAATAAACAAGTGAACAAATAACAGCATTTCAAAAAGTAAAAACTCTGAAGGCAGCAAAATAGAATTAGGTGGTACAGAGTGATGGGAGTAGAGTCAACTTTAAATAAATTAAGAGCGAACAGCAGAAGTCCCCTAAGGAGATGACAGTGAAGTGAATGACAGGAAGGAGGGGCTGTGTGAAGATAAGGGGGAACAGAGTTCTGGTGAAAGGAAGGGAAGTGCAAAGACCCTGAAGGTGAAACAAGCTTTCAGGTGTTCAAAATAGGGAGATGTAGCCTGTGTCAGAAGAATAAGAATGAGAGGCAAGAAAACGTAGTTTCAGAGGTTAAAAATTTGATGGTACCTTGACAAAAATTATTCTGATGCATCTCTATTTGTTCTGTTGACAATTTTATGTGGGTTCCTATGCTTGCAGTGAAACCCAAAATGATTTGGACTTACTCAAAGAGGCCTATGATGGTCTAACTCGGCTGCAAAGAGGAATGAATTCATAGTGGTGTTTTCCCCAAATCTTGCTTCTGATTTAAAGTGGAACCATGAATTGGTAGGGCAGACATAAATATAGCTGGAGTTAAAAAAGTTTCTACACTCTTTTTGGCCAGTTTTTAGTTGAATATATTTGAAAAGTTTATTGCCTGTAGGTACTGAAATACAGAAGTATATGGTAAATATTATCAGTAGCTGATTCTGAATTATATAATACATTGTAGAAGTTTATAAAGTTTATAAATGTGTTTTTACCATGTGCTATCAGGACCTAAGTTGTAACCGCTCTTTTGGTATAGGAAGAAACTAAGGTTCAAAAATGCTAATAAATGACCTCGACAGGGTCAAACAAATTAAAAAAGTAAACAAAATTAAAAAATGGTGGACCTAAGACACAAAGTCTGTCTTCATTCTGTAGATGCATTCTTCTTAAATATTGTTGGAATGGGCTTTGTTCTCTTATAATTTTTATTTTAAAAATAATAAAGCAAAAATTACATCCTTGCCCTTGTCAAATTAGTGTCTGGGATAGAATGAAGGAAACAGACCTTCTTTTGCGTAAACCAGGTTTTTCAGGATTCAGTTACATGCATACATTTTCTTTAAATGTGGCCTTAAAGTATTGTATCATTTTTTTATCTCAGATTTTAAGATTAATCAAGAGAGTGTACACATACCAGCATAGGATTCAGTTTCTTTTACTGTACTAGTGGATCTTCCTGCTGAAAAAGTTAAGCAGATGTGTATAAATTGTTTTGTTTTGTTTTTTCAGTTTGTTTCTATACTTAGAAGAATGAGAGAAGTATCAAATTTATAAATTGAAGCCATGAAATTTGAAAACTTTTAGTAGAAGACTGTAACTCAAATACAACATCATAAACCATAGTCAGGCAACTTAGGAGGAAATGAAAATTTTACCTTATTTAAATATGGATTTCTTATAACCAGACCCAAGAATTTATACTTTTAAGTACTCATCCATTCATACTATGTTCTATTTATAATTCACTTATGATTACATTGTCAAATAATTTTTCATTCAGAAGCTGACATGTGTAAGAAATTAATCTTTTTTTTAGTGTCCTAGGTTCTCAGGAAAAGGTTGTTAAAGAACTGTTAAGCTCTTTTTAACTTCCCTGGTGGGCCAGTGGTTAAGACCCCCATGATCCCAGTGCAGGGGACCTGGGTTCGAACCCTAGGCAGGGAACCAGATCCCATATGCCTCAGCTAAGAGTCTGCATGCCACAACTAAAAAAAGAGAGAACTGTTAACTCTTTTTAAATGACTGCTGATACATGAATATCTCTACCAGCACAGCTTTGGAAAACTGGTAGTAAAAGTTAAGAGCATTTTTTTAACATGTCAGAACCCTCTTTAGTCCTTAACTAGACGACACATCAACTAATTTTTAAAAACAAAATATATTTATTTTTCTAAGAATTATTGTTGAATTTTAGACTTAAATGGAATTAAATTTGATCCCGTCTATTAGCAGCGAACTGTTAATATAACCTATAGATTTTTCAGAGTCACAAAGTGTCAGATTAGAATTTATCTAGCAATGAGTTTTATTCTTTTATACTCATTTTATGATGATTTCACAAAGAAATTCTTAGTAATGTCTGTTACAAAATTATGCTGGTTTTAAAATTTGCATATAGGAATTCATTGTAATACATATAATGAGAAAATAAATGATGACAGGTGTGTCTGGAATCTCACACCTACTAGAGCCATACTTACTCTTTCCTCATTCATTCATTTATTCACTCAGCAAACATCTACTGAGCTCCCCTGGGTTAGACAAGAAAGGTACTGTCTCTGCCCAATTTGCCATCCAGATTTCAATTTACTGGAAAGGGTATTAACTTATCTCAGTGGTTTTTCTCTCAAAAATGTTCTAGTGTATTTTATCCATTATTCATAAACAATTACAGTACCTCCTATCACATTCCTGTGGACTTACTTAAAATGACAAGGGAAGATAAATAGTACGTTGAAGAACACCTTTCAAATACTATCAGTTTGTAATGCTTATATTTTTTAGGTTCCTACAAACTTGATGACTTTTGAGTAAAAACGTCATAAAGAACAAGGTGAACTGTTACCCTAAGTGAAAGCGAGGACCTGATGAAAGAGTGCCAGCTACAAACCAATCCTGTGCCAGGCAGAGCCCAGAGGCTCCGTCTCAGCCTCTGGAGTCCTGAACCAAAAAAGCACTAATTTCAGGGAACGAAGTGAGATATTCCCAGAGAACACATCAGAGCTGTAAAACAAACTGCCGTGGACCATGCTTCTTATCTCTGAACTGACCTGTGGAAACCACTGCCTTAATAGAATGAAAGGAAAACCACCATGAAACACCAAATAGTGCGTGTGAATCTCCTGGCGGTGCTGTGCTTGGAATAGATCGTAGCTAATTTGCATTTCTTTTAACTTTGTACTAATTTTGGAGGGGGGAATCGCCTTTTTTTAGATACACTTTAAAAGGAAAAACATATTTCTTATGGGTGACATCAGGAGCTGGTTTTGAACAGAAGTGTGAAGATGTTTCAGCTTAGTAGGGTTCTACCAGCCATCTCGCCAAAAGGTTTGCTTAAGCCTCCATGAGTCAGCAGCCTCAACATGCTTTCTCACAGCAAGAGTGTAGGAATTAGAAATGTTAATAATGTGAGTTGTTGGGGTTTGTTTGGGACTGGGGTGGGGGGGTTGTTTTGTTTTGGATAGGGGAGTTGTTTTTTTTTTAAACACTAAACTTCTGAAATTTAGTACTGTATGGGGTACATTATTTCCTGCTGGAGGTATAAAGGCTGAGTGTTCACATGCCAGACACTTTTTTCAAGTGGGCTCCAGAAAACATGGTTGTTTTTAACTGGGTTTAAAGTTTGGCCTTCTATATGAATTCATTGTTGGACCACAGATCTGCTTGGTAGAGAACTGTAATCCCAACCTAAACTTTTCTAAGAAGATTTTACAGTAACTACAGTTTTCAACTTTAAGTGGATTATCCCTTCTGTCACTCACAGGTGATTTTTATCATCAAGGGTGATGTATCAATATTTTATTAGGATATTTTCTTTTACAGTGTTTAATGTGCACAATGCCAGTTATTTTTTTATTATTTTCATTATTTTTGTTCGGTATGAGATTCAGGATCACATTTGTTTAAAAGAGAATCTACATGTGTTTGTATGCATGTATGTATTTTATTATAAGGGATACAGAATAATTTTCAAAGGGAAAAAGGTGAAAGATTGAGAGGCTGGAAATTTTGAGTATCAAAACTTTCCTTCCTACTTAACTTTCCTTTATCACAAACATTTTTCTCAAAATTTACTATAGGTCCTTACTGTGAAACCATATTTTGTTAATAGTTGATCAAGAGAGTTTTGTGAGAGCTCTTTTATGCAATAATGCATTTAACTTCCAAAATAAATGTTGAGTTTAAAAAAAGGAGGAAAAAAAAGTTTGGAGGTGAAATACCTTAGAGTTTTAACCAAAAAGAAGAAGAAAAGGGCACCTGAACAAAGGTTGTGTGTTGGATGTTATAAACTCATGAGGCAGCATGAATTTTGCCTGTGGCCCAGAGTAAGAAGTGCTTTTTGACTGATAACTTCTAATAGATTTCTATTACTTTGGGCCTCACATAAAAATTTTCAGATTGTATTCTAGGGGAATTTTATTCCTTTTCCTTTTTAATCATAAGTATTTCATCCTTGAATCCATGAAACTCACATAGAAAATATTGCTTGTTAGAATAATTAAAAGTATATCCATTTGGAAAGTAGAAGAGCTTTCTCAGATTACTAAATTTGTAAATTTTGTTTTCTGTTTGAAAAGGATATTAAGAGTTCAAATATTTTTCTCACATAGTACAGTTAGAAATACCATTATTTCTGGTTTTGTGGAAAATGACATGAGCTGGCGAGGGCAGGGATGTGGGTGAGACCTTCCAGCATAGCCCATGCTGGGCGCGGAGAAGACCCCCTCTGCATAACCAGCGTAGCAGTATTATCTCTGAGACCTTGCACATCTGACTTTTGTTTTAATTTTCTTAACTTGTTTATTTCTTTTCAGAAATAAGTGTTTTTAACAGTGTATGTGCTTTTTAAAACACATTGTGGATGAGAACCCTGTGGATTTTTTATTACCTTGTCTGTTTGTCATAAATAAGCTAAAGTAGATTAAGTGGTAGGCTAACCGTATTGCTGAAGATGGGCAGTTGGAAGTCAGAGCCTGACAGCACACAGTTTTGCCAAAGAGAGAGCTCAACTGGAAGACATGTTTGATATTTTCAGCCCTAAACACAAGGCTGCTTGTGCAGAGTGAGAACAGGGTTCAGATTTGGTAACTAGACCACACATAGATTTGTGGCCTCTGACTGACTGAAACTCTGAATGGTGCAGCGGAGGTCACCATTGTTTTCTTGTCTCCAGATTTGTCCATTCAAAAGCTTGCTTATTGCTTTTTAAGGATACTTTAGCATTTGGAGCAAAGAGAAGACCAGTGGGAGAAGTGAATTAAAATAGTGTGGGTGAATTTTTGACCTTTAATTCACCAAATGAGACCTAATAATAATTCAGGCAAAAATAAATACTACAATATTAAATATTTAGGCATTGTGTTAGTGAGAAGATGAAATTTTTCTCCTCTTACTAGGCCTACCCTTAATAAATTTCTAAACTAGCACCTCACAAGCTTGAAATTTTCACCAATAGTAAGCCCATTTTTTTCTCTCTGAGTCAAGAAAAACTCATTGGAAATTCCATTATAATTTAAATTTAAGCTAGTTTTTGATAAGCATAATGATTGGTATATTATCCAGCCTGGTGCAGCAGTATAATACCAACCAAAATACAATTTGAGGCACATCTCATTTAACAGTTTGTTTGAACATGGAAGCTTATTTTTCATGCAAAAGTAACCTCTAACAGTTTTTAAAATGCAACTATAAAAATAACTGTATGATGACCTTGAGGAGCTCTGATTTTGGTCTCATGCCCCCTCTGTGTGTGAGTTCTGCTTATTTTTTTCAGAGACATTACTTTTACCATAACCTCCAAACTGTAAAAATTAAAAGAACCAATCAAACACACCTTCCTATTACATTTTCTTCACTGTGTAAATATTATTTGTGCAAACATTATGAAAAGGGATCCAAACAATTTGAGTCTGAGTATTTTTTTCCTCCCCAGGCATATGCTTCAGTGATAAATGTTTTCCTGTGCGGAAAATGCCATATGACTGTTGTGCTACCTTCTGTATGGACTGTTTTGGTATTGTATCTTTCTGTATGTCAAGAACTTGGGGTGTTTGTAGCTGCAGAGTTTCTGTAAGTGGCTTTATTCCTCTTCTAGAAGGTTTATAAAGGAGCCCAATGTGCACTGTTACAGAAGGGAAAAATGTTTACAGTCTCTAGTGTATACACCTTGTATGTTAGTTGAAACCAGGGCCCGCCAAGAGCAGCCTGGCCTATTGCTCTCTTAGGATTACTAGAATTCACTTGGCCAAATGATTTGAGCAGAAGTCTCTCTTTTTTTTTTAGGTTAAATCTGTAGTTATAGATGACTTTACTGCTAAAAACAAAACTACAGGACTTGGTATTAGTTTAAAAATCAATAATAGTAGATTTAACCCATTAACTATCCACTCTTGATTTCCTTCCTGTTTTCTGAGACATGGTCCTTTTCAGTGTTCTTTTAAACCACCATATTTTCTTTTTTTTTTTTTTGCAAACAAGAGGTACCAGTATTGTTAACAGAGGATAATATCAGTTTTTTAAAAAATCATCTGCCTCAAAGACTTTTGAAATAATTGGATCCCTTTTTGAAAATGAATTTGACTGTGTCCTGGTGGAACAATAGTACTGCTGGTGCATGAATAGGTGATACAAAGCAAGTGGTGAGATTTGTCTGACTTCTTCAGTGGTCTTTTAGGGTTTGCTTTTATTTTCTGTCTCTCTTCTTTTATATTATTTCTCTCAAACATAGTAAATTTATAATTTTACAGCCAGAGTAGTATTCTGTTTTCTTATAACAAACATTGTTATTTAACACATTGATGATAATAATTTTCTGTGTGAAGTCAGCATCTTTTGGTTTTGCTTCCTTAAAAATGGCTTGTGTCTAAGGTGACTGGTTTTTTTCCCCCCCTATTTAGAGGATTCTAACAAAAGAGATCTGTTTGAGCAAACTTTTAAGCTTTTTGAAAGCTATTTCATTACACTGGTTTCTCAAGTTGTAGTGCGGGGAAAATTTGGTCAGTGCCTTATCAATTTGAAGACCAACTTTAGGGCATCGAGTGTGACAATAATCATTTGTCCTCTTACTTCTCTTATTTCAGGAGTGTGTGCTATTCCTCTCTCCACCAGCTTACTCTTGCTCATAGCAAGTCTAAGAAAATGCGTGCAGATCGTTCTAGGTTATTGTCACATTCCTCCTTGGCTTTCAGTCTTTTCAGACAAGCTCCTTCCCTGCTCCTTCTCCTTCCAGGGTAGAAGATTAAAAATAAACCCTCCAAATCAGCCTCTAGATGAAACATGCCTAAGAGCAACTTTGAAGAACATCCATCCAGCTGAGTTTATTTTTATTTTGTGTTGTTGAAATTGTTTTGAGCATAGATTTAATTATAAGTCCTTTCAGAAAATCCTTAAAAGAATACAGTACAGCCAGAAAGATTTGTTTGGGTTCTATAAAAGCTGCTAAAATCCTGAAATGAGAGTTCCTTTGCCCAGAAGTGAGATTTAGTTCAGTACATTCTTACAGTTAACAGGACTCAGAACAACAAGCAGTCACTTCACCTACCAGTTGTTGTTTACTTGAAGATACTATGTCCAGAAAGTGAAAACAACTACAAGGTATAAATTAAAGAGAAGTTAAGAGGCTAAGCTAGCTTTCTCAGTAAAAACAAAGTATGGAAACATTTTGCTTCTCTGAGATTATTGTAAGATCTAGAAATACTGTTCAACTGAGTCAAAATGCTATCTTCACATTTTGGAAAGGGCTAGTATGTTCTCGACAAGTAAATTTAGTCTTTAAAGCCAAATGAAGGGATAACTGGTCCTTGAAGGTTATTAGTAGGATTTAAAGTTTGATTCTAGTCATTTGGACTGCAAAGTGGTGATGGGATTAAAGGAATACATAATTAGAATGCTTAGGGAATGAGCTTTTTTTTTTTAAATAGACAAGTAGAAAGTTTCATAATTAGCTATGCTTTAGATACCAGGTAACAAGTATCAATTTTCCCATGAAGATATCACCTATTAAAACTATTCACAGAAGATAGTCCAATAATTATTGACTTACTAAATCTAACAGAGTAGCTGATAATAAGTCACCAGACTCAAGAGTTTCTATACCTTGATTATTGACAAATCCATTGTTTTACAGCTGACCGAAGTATGTAGTGTGGGGAGGGGGTGGGGAACTCATTCACAGTGTAATCTAAAGGCGACAAAGGCATCTGTGGGGATGAATATCCAATAATGATAATATACAGGAAAACACAAGCCATTTTTACTCTCCTTCATCCCGGTTAAATTGAGGTACTAAAGATGAAGTACTCATTTGCACAATGACCTCCTAGAGTGACGTGCAGCTTGGTTCCTCTCTCACCTTTGATTTCTGTTTAATATGCAAATGTGAGTGTGAGATCTTAAGTGTGTTTGCATAAGCTAACTTAAAATGAATTTAAATACAGTTTTCTGAAATATTTCTATTGGAATAAATTACTTAAAAATATAGATTGTGTGGGGATAATTTGTTTGCATAGTTACATTTTTATCATTAACTTTTAAAGAAATGCTTTAAGTTGATTTTTTTTCCCCCACTCTTTCTAGAATAGTTGACAAGAATTTTGTTGGTACAGGGAAGCTTCTGTCTGGGTAAACTTCAGGTGCTCTTCTCTATCCAAGAGCAAGGATGTGCGGCATGCTGACAGATGGGGCCTTGGGGAAAAGAGGTCAAGGGTATAATATTTCCAACATATCTACCCACTCCAAGTGTGTGATATGAGCAGTCTCCATAAAGGCCCTCTTTGCTAATACTGTATTTCATAAATTCCAAACCATGACACTTTCTCTTCTCACCATTTCTGAAAACAGAATCCGCCATCCAACCTAGGGAGCCTTAAATTGGAAGAAGTACCGAAATACATGTGTTGAGTCTCCTGTAAGTTACCAACTGGGGTGTTTGCTCTGCCCTTTCTTAGAATTCCATGAGTTTGCTTCTAAGAAGCTTGGGAAACCTCCAAACGGAACTGAATGCCCAGTGTTTGGGCAAACTATAACCCAATTTTCAACTGCTTTCTCACTTTTTCGATGGCCTTTGAAATTTTTCACCTACACTGTGCTAGAACCAAAAGAGAGTGACTGTTCTCTTACGGGGTCAGCCTCTCCTTACCTCACACAGCACCTCGTTCTCCGTGTACGCATGCTAAGTTTCTGGGTTCCCTCCTGTGTTTCGTTAGTGGTTGGTCCCTGAGCCAGTACCACATTGTCTCCATTCCTGGATAGCTATGTAAGTCTTGATGTCTGGTAAGGTAATTGCATTGTTCTTCAAATTTGCCTTAGCTCTTCGTGACATTTTCATCCTCCCTGTGAATTCTATAATCCATGTGTCAGGTTCAGTGAAAACACTTAATATTTTTATTGGACTTGATGTGAATTTGTAGATTAATTTGAGAATTAACAATTTGAAAAGCTTACTCGTCTCATCTATGAATATGAACTGTCTCTATGTTTTATTTAGGGTTTTTAATGTCCCTCAATAAAGTTTCACAGTTTTCTTCCTGCTAGTTTCATACATCTTTTATTAGTTTATTCCTAGGTAAACTAGTTTTTGTTTCTGCTATGAGTTATTTGTCTATAGGAATGCTACTTTTATGTTGACACTTAACATCCAGCAACCCTATTGAAATCCCTTATCTAATTCTAATAGTTGGTCCAGTATGATTCCATTTTCATATTAGCTGCAAATAAGGTAATAGATTGTGAGAAAATATTTGGAGTTTATAAAACAAAGGATTCATATCAAGAATATACATGGATTGGATTTTTTTTGCAAATTAATAAAAAGATTATTCAATAGAGAAATGTGCTAAAGGGTATGAATAAGCAGCTTATAGAAGGAAGCCTATGTGGCTAATCTATGAAAAGATGATCAACCTCAATTAGTAGAGAATTTCAAAGTAAATCATGGAAGAGCTGACTCATTAAACATATGAAACTGGTGAGACAGTGCCAGAGAGCACCTGGGCAGCATTACAGAGATCGTGTACGTATACAGAGCATAAGAATTCAGAATTCCGGCACTGGACCGCTTACTAGCTGCGTGATCTTGAGAAAGTGACTTAACCTTCCTCAGGTTTCTCTGCTGTAAAATGATCACAGCGGCAAGCCCACCTCATAGAGTTGTGCAGCTCACCTTAGCTCATATCTCTAAAGCCCCATGAGCAGAGCCAGCACTAGGAAAAATGGTCAGTGTTAGGGAGAGTTGGCATCAGTTACAGAGAGTGGGATTAGAGGTGAAGGAGAGAATAAGGAAGAGGTATTTGCCTAGTTAAGTCATAGTGAACTGAGAAGTATCTTATAAACCTTAGTAAACTAAATTAAGAAATAAACCAGGTATATTCATCATAGACAAACTGTCAAGTAGAGAAAAACCTGAAGGAAAGCCACCTAAAACAAGAACCCTCCTTTATTACTATTGATTATTAAAAGCCATATTTCACCCACCTGGTGCTTGTTTAATGATGACTTCTGAACACCACCCCCAAATTGCCTAAATTAGAATATGAGGACAGTGCCTGATGCACACTAAACTTTGAATTCATTTTGGTCTGATTTGCCCATAGCCCAGGCTCAAGTGAAAATAACAGTTATTGACTTTGCTTTGTTATTGCCTGTCAAAACCAAGTTGTTCATACAGTTAAGGTTTGGAAACTGTTAGCATCTATATTGAGCTGTTGCAGAAGAAAGACAAGCTGCTGTTTTTATTGAAAGAAACTATTCTGAGATTTTAACATGAAAATGGAATCCTTTTCCATTAGGCATGGAAGAAAAACCTGGAGACTCACCGTGAGTTTCTTACCTCTTAAGCAATTATTAAGTACAAACAATAAGTACAATCAGTGAACCTCTACTGACCACTGAGTTCTACAGTAGCCATGTTTTATGACCTTGTGCAACCTCAGTGATGTGTTAGCAAATCTTAACCACACGAATACAGGATTGGGATTTCTATGTTGAAAGAGATTTAAATGACTGTACTTTGGGGTGTGGTCATATCCACCTAGATCTTTGGGATAGCCAGCCTACAAAAAAGTTGAGAGAGTATGACCTGATGCAGTTTGAATTGAAACCTTTGATTCTAGCCTAAATTGCTGTGACATAACTAATTACGTTCTATGTCTCATTCTAAATCAATGTAATTCATGAACTTACTTGGGTGACAGATTTTCCATGATTCCTTAGTTTTACTAAATTAAAATTTCCAGACTCTTGAAGATTCATTCTGGTTCCCTGTTTCTCCTTTAAGAAGAGGCTTGTATTCATGTTTCCTCTTTGGTTAAGATCATCCATGGATTCCTTTTGTTCTTTGAGCTTACTTCCAGCAGGAGGGCCTTCTCTAAAGGGACTGTCATGGAGGGTCATCCAACGTCTGATGATAACTTGATGTTTTCTGTTGGCAGTTCAAGCTCAAGTACCTGCTATCCAAACTGTAAAAAGGAAAAGAACAGTGACAGAACGTATTAAATGATGGAAGTGTCTTATAACATAGTGAGCTGTGTGTTTTGAAGCAGTAAAGAGAACTTTTCATGTAACACCTATAGCAGTTAGAAACCCATCAGTATATACTCGTTCCCAAAAGAGGTAATGAGCTTTTCAGCCTAATTTAAATTGTAGGAGTGGGTTATGACTATTTGTCATAGTGTCTAAAACAGATCATCTCTTTTTTTATACTTCTCAGTCAGTCCAGTTCAATCACTCAGTCGTGTCCAACTCTTTGCAACCCCATGGACTATAGGACGCCAGGCTTCCCTGTCCATCACCAAATCCTGGAGTTTACTCAAACTCATGTGCATCGAGTCAGTGATGCCATCCAACCATCTCATCCTCTGTCGTCCCCTTCTTGTCCTGCCTTCAATCTTTCCCAGCATCAGGGTCTTCTCAAATGAGTCAGCTCTTCACATCAGGTGGCAAAAGTTTTGGAGTTTTAGCTTCAACATTAGTGCTTCCAGTGAACACTCAGGACTGATCTTTAGGATGGACTGGTTGGATCTCCTTGCAGTCCGAGGGACTCTCAAGAGTCTTCTCCAACACCACAGTTCAAAAGCATCAGTTCTGCGCTCAGCTTTCTTTTCAGTCCAACTCTCACATCCATACATGACTATTGGAAAAGCCATAACCTTGACCAGATGGACCTTTGTTGGCAAAGTAATGTCTCTGCTTTTTAATATGCTGTCTAGGTTGGTCATAACTTTCCTTCCAAGGAGTAAGTGTCTTTTAATTTCATGGCTACAGTCACCATCTGCAGTGATTTTGGAGCCCAAAAAAATAAAGTCAGCCACTGTTTCCCCATCTGTTTGCCATGAAGTGATGGGACCAGATGCCATGATCTTAGTTTTCTGAATGTTGAGCTTTAAGCCAACTTTTTCACTCTCCTCTTTCACTTTCATCAAGAGACTCTTTAGTTCTTCACTTTCCGCAATAGGTTGGTGTCATCTGCATACCTGAGGCTATTGATATTTCTCCCAGCAATCTTGATTCCAGCTTCTGCTTCATCCAGCCCAGCATTTCTCATGATGTACTCTGCATATAAGATAAATAAGCAGGGTGACAATATACAGCCTTGCCGTACTCCTTTTCCTATTTGGAACCAGTCTGTTGTTCCATGTCCAATTCAAACTATTGCTTCCTGACCTGCATACAGATTTCTCAAGAGGCAGGTCAGTTGGTCTGGTATTTCTATCTCAGAATTTTCCAGTTTATTGTGATCCACGCAGTCAAAGGCTTTGGCATAGTCAATAAAGCAGAAATAGATGTTTTTCTGGAACTCTTGCTTTTTTGATGATCCAGTGGATGTTGGCAATTTGATCTCTAGTTCCTCTGCCTTTTCTAAAACTAGCTTGAACATCTGGAAGTTCACAGTTCACATATTGCTGAAGCCTGGCTTGGAGAATTTTGAGCATTACTTTACTAGCATGTGAGATGAGTGCAATTGTGCAGTAGTTTGAGCATTCTTTGGCATTGCCTTTCTTGGGGTCTGGAATGACAGTTTAACCTCTCATATTAACCTTTTTTTTTCCCCTTACATATTTTGTCAGTGTGTCTCACTTTTGGATGTCTACTCATTTATAGTATGGTTGTCTCCCTTCATATTTGTTTAGATCAGTGATTCTCAACCCTGGATGCAATTCAGAATTATCCAAGGAACTTTTAAAAATTTCAAAGCCTGGGCTACATACCAGACCAATCCCATATGCCTGGGAGCAGTCAGGGTGGGGGGTACTAAGCCTCTCAGATGACACAAATGTGTAGCCAGGGTTAAAAACCAACATTTAGGTCGTTGGTCTCTAAATACTGCAGAGGGTTTAGGACAGTGGCTTTCAAACATCCAAAGGCATAAGAATCCCTTGGAGGACTGGTTAAGACTTAAATTGCTGGGTCCCACCCCCTCCCAGAGTTTCTGATTCAGCAGTTTTGGGGTGGGACCTGAAAATGTACATTTCTTACAAGGTCCCAGGTGCTGCTGACGCTGCTGGTTTGCAGGCCATACATTGAGAACCACTAGAAATTAGAAACTGGGTTAGGAGGGGAAGATGAGAGGATCCATCTTCGTTGCACACTAGGCTGTGAGTGTGCAGCTTCATGCTGTGAATGTGGTGGGAGGGGTGCTGTCCAGAGTGTGCACATCTGTGCCAGGTGGTAGGAGGGCACGAAAGGAGAAGACAGCACCCCAAAACCCCGAGGGAGCTCATGATGAGAGGGAGGAGGGCAGCCACAGGGTTACCAGCAGCTGTGGCGTGGCAGAGAGGCAAGGACTGAGGAAGCTCCATGCATATTTGATCTCTGGCCCCGTCTCCTGTCCTCCCTGCAGCTCAGTGCTGACCTCTGCAGAACTTGAGCAATGGCAATGTTTTGACTACTTGCAACAATATATTTACTCAAAGCAGTTACTTCAGAACATCCAGGATCCCCTTTTTCTTCCCTCTAAACTCCAATACTTTGGCCACCTGATGCGAAGAGCTGACTCATTTGAAAAGACTCTGATGCTGGGAAAGATTGAGGGCAGGAAGAGAAGGGGACAACAGAGGATGAGATGGTTAGATGGCATCACCAACTCCACGGACGTGAGTTTGAGTAAACTCCAGGAGTTGGTGATGGACAGGGAGGCCTGGCGTGCTGCGGTTCATGGGGTCACAAAGAGTTGGACACGACTGAGCGACTGAACTTAACTGAACAACAAAGTATTCTGAAGCAACAGGAAGAAAATTGTTCTGTATTTGAAAGCCTTCGGCAAGGTCATTTGCTCCAATGTGCCATAGTCCCTACCACTGCCGATAAGTCTTTTTTTTTTTTTCAATATTTATTTATTTATTGGATGTGCTGGGTCTTCGTTGCGGTGTGCGGGCTTTCTTAGTTGCGGTGAGCAGGGGCTGCTCTTCATTGCTGTGGGAGGGCTTCACATGGCACTGATTTCTCTCTTCGCAGAGCTTGGGCTCTAGGGCACACGGGCTTCACTAGTTGTGGTTCGGGGGCTTTAGTTGCCCCTCAGCACGTGTA